TCACATTTTTGTTGTCCAAAAATATCACGTTTGGTGTGCAAATGATGTAAACATGGAGCAAAAAACATGGAGCATTAGAAGAGGATGGGGCAGATGTGTAGCTGTGTAGGCATTGTTTGTCAGGGTCATTTATCTGTCAAATAGTTAAACGGATTTCATAAAATCAGCGTTGGAAATTAAAATGAGGGGTGATGCACACAAACAAGACGAGACAGTAACATACTAATAAGTAAGTGCAAATAAACAAATGCTAATTTCACTAATTTGAATGCAACATGGCTGTCAGTTTAGTTTTCTGACCATGTCATGGGGATTTTAAGTCTAATGATTTTCATGCTAACTTGAGGAATTTTTCAAAGTTTTGGCTTAGTCAGTCATTAACAGTGGTTTGATGTGAGATGGTTCATAGTAGAGAAACATACTGACTCTTTACAGTGAGTGGTGATAGAAACCAGGAATTGCTATGTCTGCAGTGCAAATTGAGCCATTTTATTTCCTATACAAAACCATGAGTGGACTGGATGTATCTTGTAGTTTTTATGTGTAATGTTGAGAATGGTAAAATAATCTTTAAAAAGGGCAGAGGGGGTATTTGTTTATTATCTTAGTTGGTTTTAGCGTTCATTTTAATTTACTTATTTGTTTTTTAATATTTTTTTCCACAATTTTATTCTTACTTTTATTTTTGCTTTTTCATTATTAGTTAATTCAGTTTAATTTTTACAGTTTCAGTTACACACTAAATGGCTAAAAGTACATGAACACCTGATCATCACACCTATATGAGATGGTTGGACATCCCATTTCAAAACCATGGGCAATAATATGGAGTTGCCCCCTTTTGCTGCTATAACATCCTCCACTGTTCTGGAGTGTGTCTGTGGGAATTTTTGCCCATTCAGTTAAAAGAGTATTTGTGAGGTCAGGCAAAGATGTTGGACAAGAAGGCCTGGCTAACCATCGACGTTCCAGTTTGTTCCAGAGGTGTTCATTGGGGTTGAGGTCAGGGCTCTGTGCAGCCACTGGATTTCCTCCACACCACACTCATCAAACTGTGTCTTTATGGAGCTCATTTTGTGCACAGGGCCAGAGTAATGCTAGAACAGGAAAGGGTCTTACCCAAACTGCTGCTACAAAGTTGGAAGCATATAGTTGTCTAAAATGTCTTTGTATGCTGTAGCATTAACATTGTCCTTCACTGGAACTAGGAGGGGAGCTGAGACCAAACCCTGAAAAACAGCCCCAGCCCATTATCCCACCTCCACCAAACAGATAGTGTTCCCCTGGCATCCGCCAAACCCAGCTTCAATTTTCAGACTGCCAGATAGTGTAACTTGAATCATCACTCCAGAGAAAAGAGTCCAGCGGCTGCAGCTGTTTAGCCATGAAACCCATTACATGAAGCTCCACACGCACAGTTCTTGTGCTGATGTTGCTTCCAGAGGCAGTTTTAAACACTCAAGTGATTGATGCAACCGAGGATACATGATTTTTATGCACTACACACTTTAGCATTTGGCAGCCCCACTCTATGTTTGTGTGGTCTACCGCTCTGAGGCTGAGCTGTTGTTGCTCCTAGAGTCTATTTCACAATAATAGTACTTACAGTTGACTAGGGTGGATCTAGCAGGGCAGACCCACCCTTCCATGTATAAAGTCACTGAGCTGTTTAGTGTGACCCATTCTGTTGCCAGTGTTTGTGTATGAAGATTGTTTGGCTGTGTGCTTGACTTTATACACCTGTTAGCAATTAGTGTGGCTGCAACACCTTAAAAACTCACAAACTTAAAAATTTAGGAGGTTTCCACATACTTTTGGTCATACAATGTATTTATACATGCATGCCTGGCTACATTGTAAAAGAGGGTCATCCTCAGTGTTTTTCCAAGTGAAAGTAAAGGTTGATTAGATGGATTATAAAAATGTTTTAGGCCAGTTGTCTCAAAACTATTGCAAATCAAATAGTTTCAGGCATCAAGCGTTTTTATAACCATTTTATGAAAAAGCTTTCAATGAGGGCAGCTTGTAGAAGCATAAAACACTTGTCTGGTACTTATCACCACCACTGTGAATGACAGAATGGAATATTTTGCATCACACCACTCTGAATAACTTTATTTACATCTTACCAGTGTGATTTTGCAGATATTTTAGGACATAAACTGCTTTGAGTACTTACGTTTGTGTTTCTGTGTGCGCATAGGTATGGGATCAATCATCCGTGTGAGTGACTTGAGCTCTGCACCAGTCAGAGGAGAAGAACACAGCCCACACACTACAGGACAATTAATCTATCATATCAATAAGGACGAAGTAAGTCATGTGACCTGGTCAACAAACCCCCAATACAAAGAGGCAACCAGTGAAATCCCTGCACAGCATAGCAACTACAGCACAATATCTCACTGTAGAAGGCCTTACTGAAAGAATAACACCAGTTATTATTGAATTATTAGCGCTCATCTGGCCAGCAGTGTGTAGTAATACTAACACTTCTAAACTAATGGGGAAGGGTTGCTCGGTTACATGATTGAACATTCCTGATTTAACATGGATACTGGATAAAATGCAGTTGTCCCAAATTAACAAATTTACGAATACAACGTATACGCCCCTTTGTTCTTCGTTTCCGTCCGTCTGGTTTTCCTGTCCTTTTTCTTCCCTCTCTTTCATCTTCTCAACCTGAAGCGGGTTGCCAGAAAGCACAGCAGCACAAAGATCATCTTGAGATGGTGGAGTGAGTATCACTTAGTATGTTCATCCTTAAGGTGATCCTAACACTGCAGTGCTTTTTGGAAACCAGGTTCTGCACAGTCTCTGATGTCTGTCTTTATATCCTTCTCTCACTGCACTACCCACAATGTCCGGCAAACAGCCTCTAGCCCTGTTGAAGGAACAGGGAATTTGTAATACTTCAGGATGTCATTTGACACTTGTATATAAGCTGTTCTTTCTTTCTTTTCTTTTGTCTTTTTTTTTCTTTTTAACACTGTAAAAGGGAATACTAAGGCTGGTTAAGCCACGTCTATTTTTGTTAACGAAGAAAAGCGAGACACTCGTTTGTAAACGCCTTCTTGAATGTCTAAACTAAATATGTGGACCACATACGACGTCCATGCATATGCTTCGAAGTGCAACATTTTTGCTTGGAAACCGGCTGGTGTACGTGATCATCTTGTCAAGCAAATTTACGTATTGGCTACGGAATTGTATAACTTGAACATTTCTACCGTGTTTTGCTACCATACAAGCTCCATCCAGGTTGTAAGATATGTATCTATAGAGGGTTTTACTGTTTTTTTTGGAGCTCCAGAAGACGATTAAGCATTATGACAAGGATTGTTTGCTTTTTTTAATACATGCGGCACAGGAAAACGTAACGAGTGGCTGCGGTCTGCTAAGCCGCCTGTCGTATTTGGATGGTCCCTGGCCTATTACTTGAGCCAGCGTGACCTTTGACCCTCAGGATCCGAATGAATGAACTAGCAGAAATATGAACAGAGTAGTCTTTCTATTCGAATGAATGGTACACTGAAGTGCCATGTTCAACGAGTGGCCTGCAAAAGAGCAGATTATCCATAGTGACTTCTCAGTTATACCGTTCAAACAGTGCTGGGTCAAACATGAAACACTATGATAGCCATTCGTGAAGTGCAGTGTCACTCTGTAGCATGTAAAACTATGTGAGGAAACCAACCATAACAGTCGTTCGTTATGTTTCTGCCTCTTCGTTTTCCTTACTTGCACTCCATTGTGCTCCTAACGCTGATGTCTGAGAACTGCTGCCCAGAGAACTAGCATTCCTTGTAGTTTTTACTTTTTTTTTTATGTCAAATCACATTAACTATAACTACTAATAAAAGAAGCTCTATCTTTCTTTGGGGTTTGCTGCCTGTCATTTGTCTTCTGTTGTGTTATACCAGCTGTGAGGTGAGAACAGTGCTCTTCTTCAAACGCCTTTTGAAACACTTAAACCAGGGGTGTCAAACTCGAGCACTAAAAAGGGCCATATCAAAATCTCGACAAATCCATGGACCAGCGGTATTTTATTTTAACATTTTGCCATGACCCCAACTAGCCATTGTTTGTTATTCCACAGTGGCAAAAAACAGGCACTGAATACTTGAACAATTCAAAAATAATTTTAAATTAAAAACAAATTGTTGTATGTAAAACAATAGACTACATTAGCTGCAGATAACTGTTAAACCTTTATAAATGTCTCCAATGTACAGTAGGTTTTTTAAAACTGCCTGTTTGCTTCAGCTAGACACTGGTGCTGTGCCATGGATTGTTGTCAGGGAGGGCTGGGGGCACAGATTATGTTGCAGTGCATAATGGGAACTGTAGTGCAGCTCATGGTGAAATGGGCTAATATTAAAAGAAAATTAAAAAATAATTTTGCAAGCCGCATAGGATTGTGCCACGGGCCTGACTTGGCCCACGAACCTTGTGTTGGACACATGGGGCTTGAATAGTTCAGTAAGTTTACTTTTCCCCCATGTTGGTAATATCCATAACAGTTTACAAAAATACATCACATAGCTTTAAGAAGCCACCCTGAACACTGAATTTTGTCTGCACTTTCTAAGCGTATCACAGATATCACCAGTACTGACCAATAGCATGCCTCATTACAAAGAAAGCTTAATTATTCCTGTTAATACTTCTTTGTGCAGTGCAGCATATAAAAATGTTGCGTAATAATCGCTGTATGTCTTGGCTGATTGACTACATTTGGGTTAAGGGGAAATTTTTGTAAAGTAGTTTTTTGTAAAGTATTTTTGCAAGTGTAGAGCACTGACACTGGACTATTAATTCAACACAAAAAAATGTACCATGAATATGCTGCATCTCATCAGCTAAAATTGAACTTCCTGTTTGTGCTTCCCAGTCTGGCTCGGCTCTATAAGAAGTACAGACAAATGAACCGAGAGCCAGAAGGATTTCTCACAGAGCCCCGCCAATCTTACTCTGACCCACTGAAGCATACTCAAAGACCATACTCGGAGGTTTGGCTTGGCAGTGTGTTGTGCTTTTTTTATTTCATTCACTCAAATGTTTGAGCTCCACAGACTCCAAAGCAGCAGCAGTAGCACAGAAGGGGAAAAAAAAGGGAAGAGGGTGATGAGCCTTCACCAACAAACACGCACGTACACAGCTTGCATCCTACAGGCAGCGAAGCAACGCGAAACACATTTGAGACATTAGCGAGCCATACACGGGATCTGCTCCTGTTTGTCTCACTGTGAGTCCAAGTGGCCAGGCTTGCTCTGTCCATCCTGTCCATCCAGCAATCCAGCGAAGGCGCTCATCACTTGAGAAAACCTGGAAACTCTGAAAAAGCTTCCAAATCCCAAGTCCATCATCATTCAAATTCAAGACTTTATAATATACATTGCTCTCTCCATTGACTGTACACATGGCATTATATACAGACATTTCCTATTCACATGAGCACAGCTGTTCAAATGTGTACAGTCCCATATGCAGCACTGTGCATATTTAAATGCCTGCAGCTTAACCAAAACAGAATCCACTTGTCAGGAGTTCAAGACCACTAAATGGGATCCTTCTATTATTAATAATAATAATAATAAATTACGCTAATTATTTGATGCTTTGTTATAGGATTTGAACTCATGACATCATTCATAACCAAGTCCTCCATCACCTAAATTGATTCCATATGGCTAAGGAACATGTTAAAGGTTCAAATGGTTTTGGAAGTTACACAGTCACTAATCTAAGATCTTTATCCTGTTTCTCATATAAACGGATTCAGAGAAGATTTCTACAGGACAGTGTGGTCCTAGATCAGCATGTAAAGGGCTGCGTTCAGTTGGAACTGGCAGTAATGGGTTTCTCCAGCTCCATGTCAGCAGGGGGCAGCGCAGGGGGCACAGCAGAGGGCCGCAGATGACTGTAACAGGCCTGGCACGTGCGGTTAGGCTCATACAGCTGCTGACTCGCCACCGCCACCTTCTGGTCACAGCAGCTGGCACAGAACACATTCCCACAATTCCTAAAAGGGCAGCAGGGAGGAGGCAGTAGCTTTAGTACATTAAACTAAATAAAGCCAACAACTTATATTTTATATATTTTTTTTTACTTTTAATTGAGAACAGTGTTTTTCAACCTAAACTCTATCCGCTGCATCTGTGTTATATTGTCAGTGACTACAGACAATCATAACATTTTCCTGTACTTAGAAAAGTATACACTGACATCCCTTGTTAATAAAAATGTGTAGGCTTAACTATTAAAACTGAATTCTTAGCTGTGGCCACGTAATGTTTTTTATAGGAAGGGATATCACCAGCAGGGCTTCACAGAAAATAACCGAAAACCTGTGGACTTATAATAGAAGCCAAATGAGCAGTTGCTTTGAAATGTTTAATGCAAATTTGAAACTACAATTGAGCTCCTCCAGCGAAAAAACATTCACAATTCCACCCTTTTTTAGATTGTTAGTTATTGTTTTTTTTGTTTTATTTTATTTTATTTTGTACCACCTTCTACAATACCAGACTATGCTTTATTTATATTTTAGTGACCGCTTTATTTTAAATACGGGGCATCGGACAATGCCATACCATGTTTATATGATTTTTACAAAAATGTCATGGCTGTTTTTCATTGCAAGTGCTCAATTGTTGCACAACAATAATACAGGCCTTAGGATGAGAATTTCTCATCAGAGCTGTTCTTATGACGTTTGAATCAAGGCAAAGCAATGTAGTAAAAAAAGTAGTTCCGGTTACTTTCACCCCCCCCCCAAGTGTTCTGGTTGCCATGGCGATCATGTGTTCCACCCACACCATTACACAGGTAATGAGTTACTGCAAATCCTTCCTTTTGGAAAACTAGTGTAATTTCATAGAGAAATTATACAGATTTACAGCCTGACGGAATTCAACTGCCCAGTGGCTTTTATTGAAAGTGCATTTCAAGTTGAGTTTTCTGTTGTTTTCAGAGAGCGCTCAGAGAAACATGTTGAAATAATTGTCTGTAATAATTAACAAGCAGACAGACTGAAAAACACCGAAGTATTCCTTTATGTATGAAGTGTAGTGTGAGCTGTTTTACTCTGTTTGTTGATGACCTTGGTTAATGTGTATACAGTACACATACAGATACTATTCAGAGGGGTTGAAATGGAAAAGAACAGACGGATGGATAGATGCAACAGATGGATGAAACAAAAGAGGGGAAAGGGGAGTCTCACCAGGCTTCCTCAACAGGTTCTCTGGCACTGTGGGGGGAAAGGGAGGAGACAGAGGACAGGATGAAAAGTCAGAGAGAAAGAGAATTTGAGTGGACAGCAGAAGCCCTTAACTAACAAAGAACACACCTCATTTCATCGTCCAAGCCTACTCTACACTATTTTAACTGCTGAGTGTCTGAATGAGGTTCTGTGATTAGCTTGGCCAGGACTGGGGATTAGGAGTGTTGTGCTGTAAAGCTGAGAGTGCAACATCTCATTTAAAGGACAGACAGAGAATAGTAGAGAAGAGAGTGCACATTTTCACCTGCAGTGATGTTTTCTAGCAGCCAACCAAAACTTGCTCTCACACCCGTAGCAGCGGGTTGGTAGGTGACCTGGATACCACCGTGATACCTAGAAACAAAGAACACACTTTCAGTTTCTCTTTACTGCACACTCAGCCTTGCATTTATGTCCGTGTTGTCAGTGGATGCACTTCGTTTACCACCTTTTGTGTAGCAGCAAGAGGGGAGATAACTGTGTAGAAGGACTGTGGGGCTGCGATTATACTGGCCTTTACGTACATTGTTGCGCAATTTATCTACATTACAAATAATGTCGCTAGAAAATGTTGTCACTGTCCTTATTGAGGATGAATTGTTACTCGTAAATTCAGAAAGTACATTTCAGCTGTATCATTCTTTGCAAGGGCGTTTGTTATGATGTGACTCTCAGGCAGCAAAGGCAGCATATGCCAGCTACGTGTAACTCCTAAGTATGTCATGGTACAGAAGGAAAATGTGTTACAATTTCCAATTCCTGTTGACATTAAGGTGCTTTTATCTACAAGCTTGTGCTTAAATGCCTAAAAAATGGAATTCCACTAATTGTTCAAAATGTCTGTATTAATTACCTGCTAAGATTTTAAAGTTATCCATGGTAGTTTGATGCAAAATGCTTCATTCAATAGCAATAGTCGTATTTCACATCTTTATTCAGAGGGTCCAACAACGTTCAGAGGAAAAATGTCCATACAGGAAAACATATCGACTTTGCTACATTTTAGTTTACCACAGGACGCGACTGTGGCGCTCTTCCAAAATAGTGTGTTAGTTAGTGTGTCCAAACTTTTGAGTTGTTTGTAGACTATTCTTTATTTTACACCATCCCTTCACCTGTTTGTCATTCTGTTCCTCCTGTTCCCAGCTGTTATCGGAGAAGAGCTCAGTGCTGCAGTGAGACAGACACACACCCTCCACATTATTCTCCCGGTCTGGTACAGCCGTCTGCAGAGAAAGATATGAGAAAGAAAGGCAGGACAAAGGTGTTAATCAAGAGTTAATAAGAAGGGGTAAAGAGAAAAGAACAGCAAGCAGTTGACCATGTCTTTATGACCGACTTTAAAATTTAAGGTCATAAATTTCTGAAAATGTCTTTTTGAACTCAATAGAGCATCACACGCATCATGTAATTCAGAACAGTCTGTTAACCAAACATATCCAGCCATCCAAGCTCAGAAACTGAGAAAAGTAGATAGATAAAAACAAAAGGAAATGTGCATATCAAAAAAGTCCAGACCTTATCACTGAATGTGTTTTGATTGTTTGGCTTGTGAAAAGCAGAAACTGCAACCACCTTTTAAGACTGAACTTTGGAAGTGTGGAAAAATATCCCTGTAGATTTCTTTGATAAACTGAAAGTAAGTCTCCTGAAAAAAACTGAAGCATAATAAACAGTGTGGACACACGAAATACTGAAAAATCGTCTCAAGATAATTGAGCCTCTCCAATAAAAAAAATAAATAACAAAAAAAAACAACCATTCCAGCCATTTTTGGATTATCAGTAGTTTTGTTTTCTGTTTTATTTTCTACAAACTTTTACATGAAAAAGCCCAACTATGCTTTATTTACATATTAGTGACCTCTTTATTTTAACTACAGGGCATCAAACAATTCCATGTTTATATAATTTTTAGAAAAAAATGTCACATATACTGTTTTCCAAGGTCTCAAATATCTCTAAGGTATCCTGAAACAAATTTAAGAATATTTCCCATTCCACCCTGTAGATGGCACCAATATGCCATTCAGGCTGCATTCCATTCACTATTACTCCCCTAAGCCCCTTGTCTGTTTTTTAGGGGTGCTGGAAGTTGTCTATCAGTGACTGGAACTATTCTAGTGAAAACTGACCACTATAAAGGACTTTATTTAAAGTGCTCACCAGCAGGCATTATTTAAAATGTGTTTTAAAAGCAATAGACTGTTTTGGAGGTGCTGTCTTTTCCTGGCTCTGTACTAATGTGTAATTTTCTGTTAAACATTTTCTGCTTTTTTTTTCTTTTTTTGTCAAAATATTACTTGGACTTAAAGTCCCTTTTGATTGAAAATTAATGACATGAAGGCACAGTACTGTACATCCCTGTTTACATGAGAGAGTACGGTATGTTCTTTACCAGCTCTCCAGTAACGTGCAGCCGGCTCCACAGTTCCTGCACCTGTCTTTTCAGCGTCTCCACCTGCAGCTGGTGGCCAGCCTCCATCTGTCTGAGGCGCATTTGCACAGCATCGCTGTGCATGCTCAGCCCGTCCTGGTCCAGGTGTCCCGGGACAACTGGCCCTCGCTGCTGAGGGGACGTGAGCGACCCGCTGCTCGTCGTTGACGTCTGGCGGCTAAGTGAACCGCAGCCGTTGACACGAGGAGCTTCCCCATTACACACAGAGCTGTCGTGATGGGTCAACAAGGATAGAGGCTGCAAGGCACACTGGGAAGGCGAGCGGAGGGATTTGTGTGGTGTGTGTGTTGGGAGTAGGCACTCCTCGGTTAAAGTTTCTGTGGAGCTCTCCAGTGGAGAGTCGTTTTGTGAGAGGGAGCGAAGGGTGGGGTTTTTAATGGGACTAAGAGGCTCCTTTGTAGGTGATGCTTCATCCACTCCGTTTACAATAATGTGGCCGTTAGTGAGGTGGCTGAGCTGCGAAGGTGGAGAAACAACAGGGGTGAAGGACTCCTCTGTGGAAAGTTCCAGCGCTTCCTCTATTTGCTCTTCACAAAAAGCGTCCACTGCGTCTTTGCCGTTCTGTTCAGGCACATTCTTGAGCAGTTCTGAGGGTGGGGGCGTGGCAACCTGGAAGGCGGAGCCAACAATGGAAAGGGTGACTTCGCTACCCCTCTCTTCCTCAGCCCCACCCCCATTTGCTAAAATAGTCCCATTTAATATTTTTGAGTCACTACGTTCCACCCCATTGAGTAACCCCTCCTCCCGTAGCCTCTCGTCCAATCCGTTCACCATCTGACTACGATCGGTGTTTAGATTGGCCGGGCTTTCTGGTTGCTGAGGGTTGTCCTCGGCTACCGTTGCTATGGTGATCTCCACTGAGCGAAGGTGTTCCTGCCACTTCTCGTTGAGGTTGGGGTCACTGCAGCGGCGGTTCGACGCTGCAGGATTCGTTTCCTCGCAGGTTGTTAGCAAGTTGTCATAGGAACGCGTCTTTGGCAATCTGGAAAAAAAAGAAAATTCAGCTTCACTTCATGCTGAATTCTCATGATTGCAGATTCCAGTCAAATTGCATGTTTTGTTGATTTCTCTAAATGAAAAAAGTTACACATCCTCTACAAAGAACACACTTCTGCACGTTTTAATACACAATTACTGTTTATTTGCTGAATTTAACAAACTGGGAAAAAAAATACAAAATAAAATGTAGCCGTGCAAAAGTTATGACACTTTTTCCCCCCAACAAATAAACAGAAATTGTGTAGTAAAATTTGCAGAAAAATGCCATACTGAAGTTGTTTCCTGTAGAGGATGTGTACTTATTATGTAATATGACCAGGGGTGTACAACTATACATTTTGAGTGCTTCATTAATTGATATTTATTCTGTATGTATGAAAGGTCACACTGTCAAAATGTAGCAGGTGTAGTTTTCTGTTGTGTAATTAAGGTTTTTAAAGGAGAATTGTTTGTTTTTCAAGTTATTCTAAGAGGGTCCATCTGTCACCCTTTCACACGATGAGTGGAATTTTTGCCAACATTCTGTCCGACCTTGCAACAGTTGCTTTAAATAAATATGCATATATGGGCAGAGCACAGATAGGTCAACTGAGGCAATCTAGATGACAATTCACAGGTATATGAAAAGATGTATTAACATGTAAATTTTAGACACAATTGCGTGAAGAAACCTGGCGGGGGTTCTCAAATGTAGGTGCTCATGCACCTGTGAGATGTAGTGCTTTGTCAGCTGTAAAACATATCAGGTACTTATGAAGTCTTTTTTGAACAGCCTCTGACGTGTGTTCCTAATCAAATTATTTACCTGCCCGGAGGTGTGCCCTCAGGTGAGACTGAAGGAGAAGTGTAAGAAGACTCCTCACAAGGCAGAGAGGGGGCGGAGTTAGGCAGGTAGACGGCACTCCACAGCATCAGGTTCCGCACATGGCACACCGGATGAAGCACCTGACAGGAAGGAGAGGACCCAGAGATAATGCATGGAGAGAAGTTGAAGGAAAGGAAAGTAAGAATAGGGCTAGCATTAGTTCTCCTGTGTTAGCCTGCAGTTATCTACACAAAAGGGTTTGGCATATGAAAAATTCTAGCTTCTTTGGAACTATTGGAACAGCCTGATTGAATGTGTTGCATGCATAAAAATTACAGATCTTGTAATTTGTGACATACAGCCTTGGTTTCTAAAAAACCTCAAGTGTCAGAATGCCCTTTTGACAGCGGGTAAGAATTACAAGCCAGCGTTAAGTAGATTTCAGGAATTGTTTTAAAGCTCAGAACTTATAGAAAATAGACGAAAGGACTGAACTCATAATAAAAAGCTAAAAACTTTAACTACTGCAAAGCAAAGACCGAAAGCAGCAGTACCATCTCGGAGTGTGGTGAGTAGAGGATGTTGTGGAAGGCTCTGTTCGCTGGCTGCAGAAGGGACCAGACAGAGCAGGTGTTTTCCAGCACACCCGACTCCTCTCGCTCCTTTCTACTGTTACACAAGAACGTCCCAAATAGACAGGAATAGGTATGCTGCACCAGCTTCACCTGCACAACATACAACAACTCCTTAGATGTGCTTTGTTTAACACTTTGGATTAAAACAAAACATACAGTATAAAATGTACCACAACTCTTGCACAGGCTGCATTTTATGGTATTTGTTTTGGTTTACAATATGTTAAATTCAGCAAATCAACAGTAACTGTGTATTAAAACATGTGGGATTGAGTTCTCTGTAGAGGATGTGTTAACTTTATTTACTTAGTAAATCAACAAAAACATGTCATTTGACTTGGGGCACCCAAACCTTTGCACACAACTGCAAAGAAGCTAACTTCAGACTACAGATGCATGATCCAAATCAACCAAGATCCAACCAAGACCCATAGCGAAATGTTGTAGCATAATTATGCACGACGTATTATGCTAAATACCCAGTTACCTCTCACTTTATTTAATCCATGTTTTTAAAAAAGGAGCAGCAGATTTTTCATTTAGGATTTTAAATTGCCAATTGGGCCCATCAGAAAGCATGTTATTTATGTAGTGACTTTTTTGTGACTGTGAGCTTCAGGTTAAAAATAATAATAAAAATCAGCCAATTTGCCAATTTAGTTGTAAAGAATTTGCAATCTGCCTTTAAAAATCCAAGATCGGTGCATTCCTACTTCAGACACCAATTCACCCACATTTGGTGTAAAGAGAAGTATCTAATTTTTGGGTGAACTACTTGACATTGTCACTTTCAAACATCTTTGGCAAGAAAATCTAAAATGGCAATAAATGCTTAATTCATAGAACAGTTTACAGCAATAACAGTGAAATTAAGTAGCAGTTAAAGGCCTTAACTGAATCTGGCTCATTCTCCTCCCTGGACTAGCTCTGTTTGCTATGTATCCTTAAGCGGGTGGGACATCGCAAGCTTTCCTACTTCCAGAGTGTGGCATTTTTAACTGCCACTAACTGTTGCTCTGAACTGTGCAGTACACAATAGAAACAGTAGGGGGCGCGTGGTACCAGAAAGGCCTCGTTGAACTGAAATGAGCAGGGAAACTGCCTCTGCAGCTGATGGACACAGTCCAGCCACTGCAGGAAAACAGGACAGCGCTCGTTCACGTCGTCCGCGTTCTCCCCGTGTCCACAGCGGTCTGCAAACTTATGCCCGAAATCCAGCCACTCTGTCTCCACCAGCAGCTGGAAACCCTGCAGAGATTAAAGAAGACAGTGACTCAGAGCGCGCCATGAGAGAGTTTTACTACCTATTGACAGGATACTGCTGTTAACAACAGAAGGTACATTTGGCTATTAGAATCTTCAGTACTGTGAAACCATAAAGACTTTATCACATTTTTTTATCACATTCTTCTGATGTTCCAAGGTTAACATCACAATTGCATGTTTTACTGGGTGAGAAGTAACATGAATGAAAAACACGCCAAGAATTCTTTTAGTCACACTGAGGTTTTTTTTTTTATTGTCCTTAGAAATGCCATACTTTACATACTTACAAATTGCACACCAATTTGCTTTAAGTTAGAAGACAAAGTGTTTAAGTGTCTTTAGCTGTCATAGCTGTTTATATAGCTGGAAGATAAAGCGTATTATTAATTAATGATGATTTACAATAATATATGTTTTGCACCATGTACACGGAGCAGAAAAAACTGTGCAAGACACATCCTGCGCCAGGTTTTGACTTGAGTTGTCTCTGAATACTCTTTCAACACATTTGCACTAATCTGATTAATCTGCTCGAGGAAGCGGCCCAAAGTACAACCAATGTTACAAAATGTGCTTCCACATGTTGCATGCAACTACATATTTCCACCAGGGAGGTCTCCAAAATCACCAAAATTTACATAGTGCAGCTTCAACTAATAAAATCTAGTAAATGTTTTGTCACAGATATGATAGCATAATACTTTTTTAGAAGCACAGATTTTAAAATTTGCAAAAATGGTTAAAATGGCTCACCTCTATGGTTCTGTAGTAGGGGTCCAACAGCAGCTTGGACAGAGCCACTATCTGCGGCGTGCGGTCCCAGCCGTCAGAACAGTGCACCAGCACAGGCCTCCTGTCCCTATCCACAGCGTTCACCACCAACAGAGACGCCTTCAGCAGCAGAGACAGATGCTGCAGCCATTTAGTGCCCTCTAAAGCGGACAGCCAACTGAGAGAGAGAGAGAGAGAAACAGAAAGAGAGAGAAGTGGAAGCAATATTCAATTTAATTAATATAGTGCCTTTCTCAAGTCATCTGTCATAAAAGGCTTATCAATGCCGTTAGAACAAGCCTTGTATCTCCATTGTTTTTCAGTTTGACAATTTAAAAATGCCTGTTGCTCTTTTACTTTCTGCGTAAATTTCATGATGAATAGACCAAAAAAATAGTCCAAAATTACTTGGAAAAAAGTCTGGTTACAATCACTAAGAGTACTAAAATTAAAGATTGTTTTTTCTTTCTCCTGCAAAGTTGTCATTTTGGAGGTAAGAGGTTTTGTTCTGACAGCAGCATTGTAAGTGTTATGGCCTTATGAACGCTGCCCTCCAGTAAAGTGTTACTGAAAGTTGTGAAACAGCATCAGGAAATGAGTTAACCATGTTTGCAGTTGTTAGACTTTGTGAAATTGAAACGAAGTCAGGAACTCTGATAATGGTTTGTGGTACAGGCCACAGGCTAGTAGTATAACATTACTGTCTAAACAAAATCTCGTATCTACATTTTTGTCATTGATTTTTCTTAAATTAATGTTTACACTACGTCAAATGTCCATTTTGAACTGAATAAATCAAATTGTGTATATTTGACGAAAATATACTTACTTTGCAGGGTCAGGCACTTGGGCACAAAGCGCCCTTAGGCACTGAAAGCTCCTCCTGATGGAGTGAATGTTGGCCATACCCATGAACATCACCTCACAGTTTGGGTAGTACTCTACAGAAGGCAGAGGAGTATATGCACTTACTTTAGTTCACATTCAAATGGGAGGATCCCTAAAAGAACAGGACAATGAAAGCATAACATCAGTTGTGTACTGATTAAGTAAATAGGTTTGTTTACCTGGGCATTCACAGCCGCCTCCTTTGGCCCGATTGGCAACCGCGGCAGCATATGACCTGGCATCCAATATCAGCAGTTTCTGAGGAGGCGTGGCTAGTGGGTCCACCTCCTCGTTGCCATTGGTTATGACAGGATCTAATATGCACAAGAGAAAGTCAGCTAAAACCTCTTTGGAAGTCAGATTTCATCTTCAGCCAAATAAAGAAACTGCTGTACAGACCTGAGCTGTTGTGAGTACCATTAGTATGGTGGTGGCCGTTGCGCAGAGGCTTAATGGCTGCAGGGTCCATGGCACAGGCCTTAGCGATGGACTGTACCAAGTGCTCGTCATCCGCATTGCGCCACCCCCACCAGCTCACCTCGGGCTGCCCACACCGACCAATCACAGCACCTGTACTCAGATGTCTGGGTGGAGGAAGGTTTTATTTAGATAAAGCCAATATAAAATGCAGATGCATGTGTCTAAATACTATTCCTGACATTCTGACTCCAGTTCCATGTGATCGGAATCTATGTGGACAATCCCAAGAGTCAATTCCACACCATTTTCTCGATTCTCGATTTTCTTAATGCACATTTATATGTGAGATGTTAACAGTAATGAAGAGTTGAAATGCCAGCAAGATTAAACGGCACACAGACGCAGTACAATTCCCTCAAAATTAGCAAAAGGACTTATGTGGAAACAGAAGCCAATACATTACCGGGAAAATAATAATTTCTTTATTAGGACCAGCAAAGTGGAATGTTTCTCAGATGGTTTTGTTTTTATACTGCTGAGTGTGGGGCTGTCAAGATTATGAAATTTTAGCTGACGATTAATTGTCTAATAATAACTGTAACTTAATAACTAAATCGTCTTTTATTGTTCATCGAATGCAACTGTTACAGTACAAGCTGAAAGTGGCCAAAATGGCCAATTAGCCACCTTGCTTTCTAGCCATGTTAGATTATTATTAACACTGGTTGAATTCTCGAAATGATAAACTACACTGCAGTGCGCACGGCCAGATACTCATGCAAATGTCTACAAAATCATGTGCAGAGTCAAGCAAACCTATGCAAGAGTAAACATTCATTCTGCTAGCATACATGCTAAAAAATGATTGAGACAATTACTGCAGTCAGCTTAATTAGTTGCAACCAGATCAAATAATTATGAGCAGGTCATTGTAATAATTGTGAGAGGCTGTCTAGACAATGACAGCAGAATCTCACGTTCCACACGCTGGTGCAGCCAAGCTTGAACGTTTCTGTGTTTCTGAAAACAATTCCAGAACTTTGGAGTTGACTCTTGGTTCCCAAATGCCTGGAATTGGAGAACTAACTCTTTTTGGAAGCGACTCACAGCCATTCTAAATGCATATGTCGTCTGTGATGGGGTCAAGTGTTAGCCTCGAAAAGGGTGCAAGAATGCGCACACACACACACACACCTGTAAACAACAGCTGGAATCCTCTTCCAGGATCGGAACGAAGCCACATTCTCTAGCTCTAAGTCCGTGATCCAAGTAGGCACCAAAAGCTTCTCAGGATAAGTGGCACACAGTCTAAGAAAAAAAAAAAAGTTATATATATATAAAATATAAAAATTTACACAAATGTAAAATGTAAAAATACATTTCCAAAACTTCTTTCATACAGTATCCAGGTCCTTCTGTGTTTGGAGCACATTGTGACTTTCTGTGTTAACTAGTCCTGGGTGATATCTAAAAATGATTAGCACAACATTTTCTGGTGAAAAATTTGCAATTATTGATTATATTGACTCCCCACCCAAACCCTCCAGGTAGACCTAGATGCTGCTTGAGGGGGATAAGTTTTGATGACTTGGGTAACTGAGTCCTAGTGTTTGTTAGCAACCTTAGCTTAGCAGACCTAGTGTAAACTAGAAGAAGCAAAACTTCGGCTCCAAAAACATGTTTTGGCAACTGGGGTAAGTGAAAAATTGTGAGGTATAAGCTTTGTCTCATTAGCTTTGTGTCTAAAGAAGCAGACAGACACCAGGAGATTTTAGGTCGATTTATCATTTTAAAATGACCCCTGAATCACATTTTATAGTAAAAACAAAAAAAAAAAGACACAGAACAATTCAGGCTTCAAGTAAAGAGTCACCTGAAGTTGTTGTTGATGTCAGAGATTCTCCAGGCACTGTGGTTGCTGAACCCCATCCTTTGCACTTCGTGCTTAAACCGGTCCCTCACATGCTCACCTGGAGGATACACCAGCATGGGTGGGTTACGTCAGTTCAGGTACAAAACAAACCGCACAAGAGCACAGCAGAGCTCAGACCATTGCCTAATGAGCCACCTCCTCAGATTAGTGCAATAAGTCCAGTTTTGGACTTGAAAAACGCTTTTTCAACAGTTCTGTGCTATTAACAGTAATTTTCTAGCAGGATTTGGTTTAATCTCGTCTAGGAAACCTCCCCCTGAACAAAACAGAAGGAAATCGGTCTATTAAACGTGTGATTGTGTAATTATGCAACTGTGGGTGAGCTAAAGCGTTGTGTAAGCATGTATATGCGTGTACCAGAGTGGCAGATTTCCTCATGCAGGTCTCTCTCAGCTGGCTGGGTGGCACTGCAAGAATGGAAGGCGAAGGCGAAAAGCTCATCCAGTCGCGCCGGGGGGCGCACGGCTGCATTCAGCCGCCTCAGCCAATCCTGGGCCTGCTCTGATGACCTGAAGTGACACCTGAGGGCAGCAGGAACAAGTTTGAGATCAATTAAAAGGGCAACAATAATGAAGGTACAGAACATTTAAAACAAACATTTGGTAAATTTGTTGCCCCAAATGCAATTTTTCAAGTCAAGATATGTTTGGTGTCTGAGGTTTGCATCTTTGGTACTTTACCATTTTGTTGCTGTTAGAAAAAAAAATATATATATATATCTCCAAAAAGGTAACTTTACAAGAGAAGAACAAAACAGGCTCAAGTTTAAACAGAAGTTAATGGAGAACTCATTTATTCTAAGTAACACTTTGCAAAGCGTAGCTGGTATTTCCAAAAATGCAAGATTTCCAGAAAATGAACACATAATAAAAATGGAGAGTTTTTGTCTCCACAGTGCCAATCTGTTCTTTTGATTGTTTATTAGTTTAAGTAAAACCTTTTGGGATTGTGTTAGATTTACGTCACATGCTTTGACATCAACATGGGGCACAGCTTGAAACTGCTCCACAGGCCCTTATGATATTTCAGTAACTGAATCATTTGAACTCATCCATCAGGTCAACAAAAAACAGCTATCACATACAGGTATTACAATAAGCAACCTTTTCCCATTTTTAAACGCCTTTTTTTTTTTTTACTTTGCTCATTTTAGATTCACTTTAGACTTCATATTTTCATTAATGTTAGATAACTAATGCTTTTAGGTATTAGTTTTGTCCTTCTAGCTAATACTCGTAGCTGGCCAACTTAGTTAACTACATAGAACTACATACATTTCTACCACGCTACTTGGAACTTAACTAACCATTATTCTGTAAGAACAACTAGTGGGTGTTACCTGAGAACCCTAAAGCAAACTAGAGAAGGAAGGTGAGTGGCTGCTCCAGAGTGTCCCGTTCTATTGGCAATGCTTTTCTGACGATATATACACTCACTGAGCACTTTATTAGGAACACTTGCTTGTTTCTACACTTATTGTCCATTTTACCAGCTCCACTTATCACATAGGTGCACTTTGTAGTTCTACAATTACAGACTGTAGTCCATCTGTTTCTCTGCATACTTTGTTAGCCCCCTTTTACCCTGTTCTTCAGTGGTCAGGACCCCCACAGGACCACCACAGAGGATATTTTTGGTTGGTGGACTATTCTCAGTCCAGCAGTGACATTGAGGTGTTTGCCAGCACAACACACATTAACACACCACCAGCAGTGTCGCTGCAGTGTTCAGAATGATCCACCACCCAAATCATACCTGCTCTGTGGTGGTCCTGACCATTAAACAACAGGGTGAAAGGGGGTTAACACAGTAAGCAGAGGAACAGATGGACTACAGTCTGTAATTGTAGAACTACAACGTGCACCTATATAGTAAGTGGAGCTGATAAAATGGACAATGAATGTAGTTACGAGGAGATGGTTGTAACGAAGTGCTCAGTGAATGTATTTAAGCAGCCTGTGCAAAATTGTATTGAACGCTCATGTCAGCAATAGGTGCACCTTAAAGTAGCTGAATTTAAAAATGAGGAGTGTCTACAAATATTTGGACATAGAATGTAGCACACTATCTTTTGTTTTCCATGGCTTTTCTTCCATTTCTGAAGCAGACGTCTCTCTCCACACCCTACATTAGAAGGAGGTGTGTATCTAGGAGGGTGCATTGCATTCCTGAGTGTCAGGTTAATTATGCAATAAAACACAAGACAGAGTGCTATACTGTACCAGTGTACTGCAGTCATAGATCAGCAAAGCAGTGCCAACCAGTGCCAATGTCTTATGTGTTCGAGATTATAGCAGTTTCATTGCTGACATTTTATTATTAGCTTTTTTGACAACAAAGTTTATTTCCAACAATAGTTAAGTTTTTTTGCAATAGCTGGCAGGCAGTGCTGGGCTACAGATAACTAAGGTGGAGTGACACAAAGATATTTTAGAAATGCAGCAAACAGCCAGTATCATAGAATGCCTCTCAGCCAATCACACTGCGAAATCGCCCCTGAATGTGGTGTAACTGGTAGTAGGTTTATTACGCGCCAACATATAGTCATATGCAAAAATTTGAATTAATATGTTAGCATTGTCAAAGTTTCAAAATGTGACATTCACCCCCCAAGTCCATTCAGTCCATATATGGAAAACATTGTTTCTGTGATGTCACAAGAACCAACTCATTTACATCCATCCACCTACTCTGCCTACAGCGTTTTTGCACCACCAACTCATACTGCAGATCTAGAGTGTTTGAGCTCTGAGTTCTTTCTGAACAGAACAGAGCTACTTTATCTTATATCAGTCTTAAAGGTACAGTAACAAAAACAGCCCAATTAATTCTGAGGGATAAAGAGAGTTTGTAACATTAGTAAAAATTAATTAGCACGATTTTTGGTACTTAAAACCACACAAAATGTTATAATTTGACCTCAAGGGGAAAAAAATAAACTGCCAGAAAAATGTAGGATATGGGCCCTGTAAATGAGCAAATAAATAGAAATTAGGCAGAAAATTTACAATTTTGTTCCCTGTACTGAATGTGTTGACTTTTTTCACTAAAAAAAACTGATAAAACATGCAGTGTGACTAGGGGTTGTTAAAACATTTGGTTTGTCATCAGTGTCAGACCAAGGGTTGTTTATGTACCTGATGACCTTGCAGTCTTTACAGGTGAGGTGCAGCTGGACCATGTCCCGACACTCCACACTCTCTACCAGCTGCAGTGGAACCTGACAGTGAAAGAAACACAGAAAGACTGAGTAAAATCTCTTTTCAACACAACAGGCTTATAGTAAAATATGCTGTGAAAGAAAGCAGTTTGTCTTTTTACTGCAGGCATTTACAGCACAGTATTTGACTCTGTGACAAACAGCACTACACCCTCACCCTCGCTCATTCTCATCAGTTACCATTCAAATGCTCAAACAAATATACTCGTACTGTTCTTCCCACACCTCCACCTGCCTCTCTCTCTGTCAGTGAGGGTGAAGAAAGCATGCACATGGGCGTGTTCGGGAGAAAAACACTTTAAACGACACTTACATTTATGACACTGTCTTTGAACTTGATGTGAAGGCGGTAGCTGGACAAGGCGATGACGGCCCCCTCTGCCCTGCCCACATACTCCACACTCTCACCATGCAACACCGGGAATGGCACCTACACACAAACACAGTTGTACAATTTCAGGTCAAATAGCATTAAAAAACTAATAAAATCTGGGCTAAGCAACAATGTTTATTTTTATTTATTTATTTTTAACTGAAAGGGCAAAGCCATTACTTTTTGGTTCCTGAGTTTGGGGTTAGGCTTAAAATATTCTTATTACATACGGATCCTTATAATACAGTACTGTGCAAAAAATAAATTTATTTACTTTCCTCTCAAAACAGCCAATAAGTAGAGGTTTTATTTTATTCAGAAGACATTTTTGAGAAGATCTGATATAAAATAAATTCAACTGAATAAAAAAGCGAGAGTCAAAGAAAAATAAGTGAAAAGGTATGAATTTCCAAACTGGAGTTCAAAAAATTAACAGAAAAAAGGGACTCCTAACAACCACACACAACCTGGTACACCACCAAAACTGTCGCCATCAGCTAAACAGCACTTAAAGCTGTCAGGTAGTCCTTACTAAAACAAGGGGGGGGGTAATGCAACCAACTTTTGAGACTTCTAAATATCCCTTCAAAATTAAAAAGAAGCCTCCTGAAAAGAATGTTATAAAGGCAAATGTGATGTACTATTCAATAATGTGACATTATTGAAAAGTATTATAAACATTTTGGTATTAATAAATAAATAAATAAATTCTGTTAAATGTACGATTTCTGCTTTTTGTCTCGACGTTAAAAAACAAATAAGAATTCAAAGGTTGCCTTCACAGGAAATTAAACAAATGAAAGTGTGGTCTCTAACTTTTGCATAGTACTGTACATACATGCAGTAAATAATTTATATGGGACCTATTATATATACACCCACACGTATATAACACATTATTACATATGGGTACTTGTATACGAGTATATCTGTACCTACAGATGCTTAAAGATAATTATTTATAATACATACGGAACACATGCATGACCCCACATCCTGACTCTGTATGAAAACAAACATGTTTGTGTGTGTGTGTGTGTATGGGCTCTCTTGTTGTGGTAGGTTTCTTGCCTGCACATGTTCTTCTTCCACAACCGGACTACCGGCCTCCAGAGTGGGCTGCTCCTCTTCACCCTGATGCGCACAAACATACAGTTAGACAACATATGCAGTGCGTTTGCTTTTAAGATAATTTCTCCTTAATGTATGATCCATGACCAGTATAAGCAGCCTATATAAATTCTCTTTAACAGTGGATACAAAACCTCCTCCTAGAGATCTACCTTCCTGCCAAGTTTGGATCCAACCCAAAATTCTGAAGCCCAAAAAAAAATAATAAATAAAAACAACCTCACCCAGCTTGTAAACGCCTTCTGAAAAAGTAATTGCTTATTTGGAGCAGATGTGGTTGATTAGTGTTGAAACTACTGAACGCTGTAGGAAGCTAAATCTCCAGGAAGCAGGTTGGTTTTGTACAGAATCCACTCTTACCATGGCCCCTGGGAGCAGGGTCTCGGCCCAGAGAGCAGCAGGCCTCTCTGCTGGAGCTCACTGAGGAAGAGACAAAAGACACATTTCAGTTTTTATGTTTGACATCATTTGAAAACACCAAATTTTCACGATGAATGAACAAATTTTACAAAATTACAAAGTTCAATTCCACTTCTAAACTTGCTTGTGGTGCCTGCAACACCTTCCAAAAAAGTTGGGACAGGAGTGTATTTACCTTTCCTTCTAACAACACTTCATTGTTTCTGGACTGATGACACCAACTGATCCAGTTATACTAGTCTTCAGCCATACAACTGTACAAGCCTTTGTTGTCCCATTTTAAGCTTTAATTTGCTCCACATATTTTCAGTGGAGGACAAGTGTGGAATACAGGCACCCGCACTGTCTGATTACAAAGCCATGCTGTCGTAACACATACAGAATGTGGTTTGGTGAGGTCATGTTGAAATAAGCATGGATGCCCCTGAAGAAGACATCATCTAGAAGGCAGCCTATATTGGTGCAAAGTGTTTATACATCTTTCAGCATTAATAGTGCCTTCACAAATGTGAAAGTTATCCATCCCATGAGCACTACCACCCCCTATACCATGGGGTATTGAACTTTATGCTGGTAACAATCTGGATAGTCCTTTTCTTCCTTATCCCACAGACATTAATTATTTCCATACATAATCTGAAAGCTTGACTCGTCAGACCACAACACGTTTTCACTGTGCATCATCCCATTTCAGAAGAACTCTACACCAGACAAGTCGGCAGCATTTGATGAACTGTGTTTATTGACAACAGTTTGTGAAAGTATTCCCAAGCCCATATGGCGATATCCATCACAGAAGCATGCTGGTTTTTAATGCAGTGTCTGCTGAGAGATCGAAGGTCATGGGAATTAAATTGTGGTTATCAGCCTTTCCCTTTACGCAGAGATTTCTCCAGATTCCCTGAATCTTTTCATGATATGCACTGTAGAGCGTGAAATGCCTGAAATCCTTGCAATGGCTCGCTGAGGAACTTGTTGGACTATTCGGTGACACATTTTTGGCAAAATGGTGAACCTCTACCCATGCTTGCTCATAAAAGACTAGGCCTTCCTTGATGCACCTTTTACACCCAAGCATGCCCGCATCACCTGTTTAGGATGGTTTGGACATGTTTTTTATGTGAAATTGTCCCCGTCTCCCCATTTTCAAATATGTTGCAGGCATCAGTTTTTAGAATGATATCTTTACAAAAAAGACTTTGTAAAAGCAAAGAAGCTGATGAAGTAAAACATTAAATATCTTGTTTTTGGTTTTGATTAAATATAGGTCAAAGTGGACTTACAAATCACAGCTTTCTGGGGTTTTTTTTGTTTGTTTTTTTTACATTTTACATACTGTTCCAGCAATTTTGCAATTAAAGTTTGTACTTTGAAGTTTGTAATATTACCACAACAGACTTTAAGAACGTTTTCCCCGTCCTGTAAAGTCATCAATTTGGAAATACAGGGTTTTCTTACAACAGTGAAGATATGCACGTCTAAACACAGCAAACAACAGCAAACATAAAGAGGAAATACTTGTGGTTTTTCTGCAGCAGCACTGAGTAAATGAAAAAATGCTGAGAAGAGCAGAAAATGTCAATGTAGACATACGGTGCAGCTCATGAGCATTTGGACAGGTTTTGTTGTTTTGGCTCTGTTCTTCTGAGGTTGTAGGTTGTAGTTATAGACCTTCGTACATTATTGCCCCATTTCAGGGTCTATAAGTAACTGAACAAATTAAAATTTACTTAAAGGGCTCATGTCCTACATGTTTCTTGTATTCTTTTATTTGCCCCCTGAGGTTGGATGTGACATCACATAACAATTAATTCATAAACTGCAGCTTTGTTTCCATATATGGGTGTATGCAATGGGAGTGGTATGTTTTTTAATTAAATGTTTACACACTACATCAAACTGGCTTTTCAAAAAAAGGTGAGGAAAAATTCTGTTGTCCATGAAATCAGCCCTTTCAACAAAACTGTGATGCTTAAGCAAATTCTTCATAATCAATGACTGCCTGACGTCCTTTGTCCTGATTTTTCAGCCTCATGAGCTCCTGCTTTACTGGCATTGATACTTTGGTCCCTGAGGTCTCTTTGAATTCCTCTTTTAACACACAAACATCAGATTCATTCCCTCAGATTCAACCCGTCGTTACAAAATGTTCCTCCACATGTTGCATGCAATTACACATTTGCACCAGAGATGTCACTAAATCCCCAAAACTTACAAAGTGTAGCTCATAAAAGATCATAACATTTTAGCTGACGATACACTATCATATTAATAAATGCAATCAATGATTTATCTTTTCTTGTTCAATGAATGCAATTATTAAAATGGCCAAATTGGCTTTTTAACCATCTTGCTTTCTAGCCATGTTTATTTAGTAGCCAACACAGGTAATACAGTCAAATTGACACCATGCTGTTGGGCGTGCAACATTTGTTTGCCTTAACCCAACACACCCAATTTACATTCTGCTTGTTGCAGCTTAACATTATTGTGAAATCTCAAACTGCGTGAGTTCTCCTTCTACACTGACAGACTGCTGGGAGAGCTCTGTGATATAGAACCAATGAGATCTTTTCTCATAAAATATTATTCTGTTAGACTGGGGTGAGATGAGACAGACACAGAAGAGTTCATGCACATGTGTGACAATATTCTGATCAAAATGCTCAAATCTGAGGGTTGTTCCTCAGGAGCCAAATTTCAGAAACAATAGAAAATGGCTTAAGTCTCACTCTTCTTTCAAACTGGATTTGATCATGTCTATGAGAAGGACATGAGATTAAGAGGAGATCTCACTTAAAAGTCAATCTCGAGGGTACATCTCAGTACCTTTAGTCAGGGAACATAATTGTACCATAATCTAATGAATATGTACTTTTCCACTGAGAAAAACTTTCTTAAGGTACACAGTTGGACCCTAAAACCACTGGTGTACCTTTGAGGGTACATTTATATTGTTTATACCTTGATGAACAAAAAACGTACCTACACAGTACCTTTATTTCTAACAGTGAAGTCCAGCCAATCAGTGTTTGATCTGGAATTTTGGCCAAAAGTAGAGCTGCAAAGCTCTGATAAGGAAAAGCCCTCTGCGGCGTCTTACAACTACAAACAGACTTGCGTGTTTTTCACAGTGTGGACTGAGTCTTGGTGACTGGGAGAAGTTTATGTTTTGGAGAGATTTGCTTTCACTTTTACTTTCCTTCTCTGACCTGACAGCTGTAACAACTTACTATTCTTTTTCATATCAAGCGGTTTTGGACGTTGACTTGGACTTATTTGCTTACTTGGTCCAAATAAACATGAGCTTAAAGTGCAAAAATAAATAAATAAGTAAATAAATAAGTAAATAAATAAAATAAGCTAGCCCATTTTCTCTTAATCCTAATTGTGTACAGTCTGCCAAGACATGACTGGTCTTTCACTTGGTGATTTTAACTTCTTTAGTCTTGCAATAGAGCTACGATGCTAATGTAGCTAACAATTAATGAATGTGTTACCCCACTAATTAGTACAGTGTTAACTGCATGCCTAAGCTATCACAAGCCAAACTGTGTTGAGTTGTTAAGTAATCTCAAATAGGCTTGCTGATGTGATTTGACACACTATTATCTGTAAAACTGGACAAAAGACCACAGCACTGCTAAAAGCAGCAGCAGTGATCTTTAAGCGAGAAGTTTCTCAACACCTCATTAGTATGTTATCTACAAATCAGAGGCTTCTATTTACTTTCACTTTTACTTACTTTCTCTGTCCAGACTGACACTTGTTCAAACAGCTAGCATAAACATACGAATGCAAAGTCTTGGAAACAAAACTTCATCCCTTCAACCCCATGCTCGACCACACAGTTTTATCTCCATACAAATCAAAGGGACCCCCCTAAAGTCTTTCCACATGGCTTGAAGAGCAAAGCAGCTTAAACCCATTGAACTCAAAATGGAATTCCAATGATTTCTCAAAACGTCTTCAAAAGTCAATCGTTGAGATGCAAACAAAGCCATTCAGAGTGGCTTGATGCGACGCGGTACAACTTACTGACTCAGATTTCTTTAGTGTTGGTGAACCAGGGGTCGTGATGTCTACCTCAGTGTTTTTCAACCCTGTCCCTGGAGGCCCACTGCTCCATGATTTCCTGCCACCAACAAACCTGATCCAATGAATCAGCTCATTAACAGCCCATTATTGAGTTACAGTGGCTTTGTTAAAGCAGAAAAAGCTCTAAAATGTGCAGATTAGTGGGCCTCCAGGACCAGGGTTGGGAAACGATGCTCACATCATGATATCTGTGAATTTCTCCAGAACTGAGCATTTCACATTAAACCACTCTGACTGACTTTGCTTACATCTTAACCGTTTAATTGCACAGAAATTTTGAAAAATCTGTGAAATTCCCATTTAAATAATTGAAAATAAAGTTGCCAAAAAAGGTTCTTTGGGGTGATGCCATAGAAGAACCAATTTGGGTCCCTAAAGCACCTTTCAATGAAGGTTTCTTTAAAGAATCATTTTTCTAAGCAGTGCAAGTCCAACAAAGGGCATTACCATAGAAGAACTACATGGGTTTGCTAAAGAACCATGTAAGGAAAGTGATTTGTTAGTATGAAGAAGCTTTAATATAAAAAGTTCTTTCCCAATGTAAATCAACCCCCCAAAAGACATTCTTTCAAAGTTTTAAAGTTCTTTCCACTTACAAAAGAACCATCCACTGAAACCTTTAAGGAATCAAAAGTGGTTCCTTTAAGGCATCATGCAAAGAACATATGTTGGTTTTCATGATGTCATGATTAGTTTCTATATATGAGTTGTGATATGGGCCTGTTAAGATTTTCTACAAATTTTTCATATAACCTTCAAGCCAAGAGCCATTTAAGAAACCCTTATTTTTAAGAGTGCATGGCCAATACTGCAACACCACCTTAAAAAAAAAAGAAGCAGCTACAGAAGTAGCTGTACAGAAGTGGACATGTGGTGTGCTAAGTCAAGGGCCACTTACGTCACAACTTGTCTATCTTATCTTAGCCTATAACCACCAGCACCTCAGCACTCCGAGGACACATGAAAGCAGTGTTTTTATCTGCCTGTTTTGTTATGGTGGTGTCTGGAGTGGGAAAGGTCTGACCCTGAAGGAGGCCTGCTGGGCCACATGCCATTCAATCTGACATCTGAATGAATGGAAAAATGGTTGAGATACCAGAAGAGAGCCACAGAGGATAACATCAACATCAGATGATACACCTGGCAGATGCTGAAAAACAACTGTTCCCATACGTGCAGTTGTCTCTTCTCACCACTTTGGAAGACATTTAAAGAACCCATAGAGAAGCTGATGTAGCACACTACTGTCAATAGTCCCATATCAGAATTACTGATTTCAATAATATAAAACCAACTGTGTTGTAGATATATATAAAGGATTGTAGGTTGATTATAGGTTGCAGATAACTTGTGAAGAAAACACTAGTGCTGGACGAATTACGCACACCCAGTTTTTATCTTCTCCACAGAGCACTGTCAGTAGAATGGGATGGTCTGGAGCAACCACACAAGAGCCTAAGGTCACTATCCCTAATGACAAACATCAGCTAGAGGGTATAAACCCGCCCAGCATTGGGCTGTGGAGCAGTGTAACTGTGTTCTCTGGAGTGCTAAGGCACCCTCCAATATCTTTGGGATGAGTTACGATCCAAAACTAATCATTCACCATCAGTACCTGACCTCACTAAAGCTCTTGTGGCTGCTATCAAATCCACACAGAAATGTTACCACATCCAGTGTAAATCCTTCCCAGAAGAGTAGAGGCTGTTTCTGTAGCAAAGTAGCGACAAACTCCCTTTTAACACCTTTGATTTCAGAAGAAATGTTGTCTACAAACTCTTGGCCACAGTCTACTTTTCAGCTTACCAGTTCAGTTCCAATTCAGCCAACACTACCACCAAACTACAGCAAGAGCAGCTCTGTTTTAATGTATTATGTAATTACACAAGTGACTGAGGTCACACATGCTTAGAGCTGAAAGAAATATGCAATCTCCCACTGTTATAAAACAGCCCATTCATGTACCAATAATCCAAATAAAACGTAGCCGGAGCAGTTCTCACCTTCTAAGAACAGTTTTAATACTTCTCTCTTGTAAAAACAGTCGCTGAGGCTAGAAATGCAGGCCACAGATGGTTCATTTGTAAAAGTAGATAAAACAGGCTGAAGGGAGTACGTGCAGGAACTTGGCCATATATGATTTTACATTAAAGCTCATAATAAAGAAGAGAGACTGTGAAAGCAAAAACAACTCTATCACATGACTCCCACATTATTATGTGCTGAGGCTTAAGAATGGCAGCCAAGTCTGGACAACAATTAACCCTCAATGACATTTGTAATACTTTGTTTACTCCACTGGAAACGATCTGAAAAGCTACCACAGACTTTATGTTTTAGTGCTGGATAGTAGTGATAACATTCAAAACACTTGATAAATATCACAGTATTTTTCAAATACAGGGATAGCAGGATGGCTTTACTCAAACTGTTCTGTAACATTTCCAATAAAATTACCCCCACGTTATTGTTAATTAGGGGTGGGCGATGTTGCAAAAATACATCACGATATTTCAAGACATTTTCACAATATATGATATGCAAACATGTAGTCAGTGTTCTTTAAGTACTGATGATATTCACAATGTGCTCAGAAAAGCGTGACATGATCTGTTATTGTAAGACATTATCATCATGTTGCCCTCCCCAACTGTTAACATTACCCTGCTAGAAAATAACAGCATAGACCAGCATAGCTGGTCACCAGGTAAATCGGCATATGTTGTGTTTTGGATGCTGGTACACCAGTCAACCATCATGCCCATGCTGGGAGACCGGTACCAGACCAGAAATTCATGCTCTTTTTTCTGCTGCTTGGCACCTGTACCGGTATATTGGTACTGAACGCTATATCGCCCAGCGCTATCCAACCGTGCAGAGATGCTGAGATAAACAGAGCCTTCAAGCAACTGCTTAAGCAAAGTTTAGGTGCTAATTGTTGTTCAGCTTCTTTATGTCTTCTCTTGTCAGTGAAACTAAGGTGTTAAGTTGAAGTATATGCGTGATTTAGGACTCAATGTATGTCATGTTTCTTCTGGCAGGCTGTTATATACTTGCTTTTCTCCTTGCTAGCTAAAATATCCAGGATGCTATCGTTTGTTAGCACTAGCATTGATTTCCACTATAGCGGTAAGAAACTGCAGATTAACGTTAGTTACATTACATGGGTGATGCTGTAAGTGCGGATCTTTCCAGATTTAAAAAAATAATAATAATAACTAGTTTGTTCGGCAATATGCGAGCTTTATGGTAGCCCAGCTAACGCTAGCTAGCTAGCGAGGTGCTTCGCGGTGTTCTGTTCAGCACCGCGGATGCAGAAGTGAACAGACGTGGCGTCTTTATCCTCAAATGCTTCGAAAGTTGACAACTATTTGTTTTGCACGTTATGTGCAGATAAACTATTCAATTTGACAAACATCGACAGCATTGAAGTTCTTTCAACCGTGAAGCTTCTGTCAGCTTCTTATTTGCCACCTTGTTACGATTTTCCCGTTCCATCTTAAATGGTGCAGCAGTTACATTCTGGTGCCTCTTGTTCGAATGTAACTGCTGCACCATTTAAGGTGGAACGGGAAAATTCGAACAAGAAGCAGCCGAATAAGCAGCTCACTTCAGCCTCGGCTCGCCGGTTGAACCCGTGTGTGTATTTAACGCTTTGTGGGCACCCTATGAATGATGATTCGACGTTGTGGGGACCTTTGGCTGGTCCTGACGATTCCTTTTTTTACAACAAGGTCAGCTGTTATTTAAACAAAAAGCCCAAAGATGTGCTTTTGGTTCCTGCGCTTAAGGTTAGGGTGGGTTAGGTGTCGCAGAGCAGCAGTTAGCTACTGGCATTCAGAAGGCAACAGAAACAAAGCTAAGGAACCACAAAGATAGCAATACAAACTCTGCATGTATGTGTGTTGTGGCTGGCAGGACGAGGGCGGACCCCGTCCGGCAGGCCCGGGAGGCCCTGTGCAGAAAACAGCGGCTCTTTTTCAATATAAATGCGCACTCACCTCCAATCTGCCCTTTTCAGACGCGATCCGTTCCTTGCGACTCGTTGACAAGATAGATGAAAAAAATCACACAATAAAAACGAAAATAAACTGTAAACGTCGCTCCGGTGTCACCGCTCTACGCAGCCATCGCTCCGCTCCTCTCTGACTGGCTTAAAGTGCTCTAGTGATGTCCGACTCCTCAACGAATCGGTTCTTTTGAACCGGTTTTTCTTCATAAGTCGTTCGCAAGTCCAACTGATTCGAGCTTTTTAAGAAGCCGTCCTCGAGTCTTAAAGGAGAATTTCTGTTTATTTTCTGGATGAATGGGCAAACATTCCCACAGACACACTCCAAAATCTTGTAGAAAGCTTGCCAGAAGAGGGGAAGTTGTTAGCAAAGGGGGACCAGCTTCACATTAGTGCTTATGGACATGGAATGGGATGTCATAAAAATTTCTGCGGGTGTAATATATAGGTGTCCCAATACCTTTGTCCATATAGCGTATGTCTGATAGGTGAGTGAACACAGATATGAAAGAAACGAAGATGATGCAAAAGAACCTGATGTTATATAACATGAAGCTGGCATATATTTCTTATATATTGGTGAATATATGTGTTACAAAAATCGCTGAAAGGGGCGTAATTCATTGATCTGAACAGTTGGAAAGAATCGGTTCGGGAAACTGAATCGAACTTCTCTTCACTATCAAAGAGCGGAGGCGTCATTACGTAACGACGTGTTCCGAGTTGACACGTACGTGCTCGCGATGTAAACAAACGGAGCGTGCTGCCTATGAATGCGATAGTGGACAAAATAAACAACATGCAAACAAACGGATTAAAGCTGGAGCCGATATACAGCTTTGACGAAGATTATAGAACAAGATCAGCTTATCGTTGAACGAAGGAATGAAAGGAATGAACTGAAAGGGGAATTCCACCGATTTTTCAAAATTTCTGAATAATTCGGTCGTTGAGATGTAAACAAATTGACTTAGAGTGATTTGATGTGACGTACTTCTTTATAGAGAAACGTACTGACCCAGGGGGGATATTTCACAAAGCGGGGGGGTTCACAAATATATATATATATATCAGTCAGCAAATTCATAACCATTCTGTGTTAGAACTTTCTCCACCACCACCACTGTGAACAATTCTGACTTGGCAAGTTTCTCTAGAACGAAGCATTTACATCAAATAATGACATTGACATTGACATTGAAATGACACTGTTTACATCTTAACGATTTAATTATGCAGACATTTTGAAAAACGGCGAAATTTCCCTTTAAGTAATACAAACCTGACCTACTCTTATTTTATTAATGCCCTAATTAATCAGTTAGTGTAGTTTTCTAGTTTTGCTCAAACGTACAACATATGTAATCTCTTGATCCTTAGTAGCTGTGTAAGCTACCACAGCCGCAACTAAACACTTCACAACAGTTCATATATAGTTCAATGTCCACAACACTCATAGTTTCTTTAAAGGGGAATTCCACCAAGTTTTCACAATTTCTGCATAATTAAGCGGTTGAGATGTGAGCTAAGTCATTTAGAGTGGTTTGATGTGAAATTCTCTGTTCTAGAGAAAAGTCAGAATTGTTCACAGTGGTGATGATAGGAACCAGACGTCGTTTTATATCCGGAGCATTTAATGATTCATTTATAGCTTCTTTCTCGAATCCAGCATGCCTCTAACAGCAACCTCACAAAAAGTTAGTACATGAAATGATTACAGATATGTTGTCTGATACATTGTTTGACAATAGTTTTAAGCTTTGGGCCTATTTTTGTAAATACATTCCTGGCAGAGAGGTACATGGATGACGTTATAAGGCAAAATAGTCCCTGAAGAAAATGTTATTTTTCTAAATGTACCACTGTGTAACATTACATTTAAAACTGACAGGATAGGTTCGCTGCACATTTTGGATAATAAATAAAATGGCATTTGTATAAACATCAACACCACTGTAAAGAAATATGAGTAGGTGATTTTACCTTTAATAATCCATTTCACAACAAAACTCTGAATGACTTTGATTACATCTAAACCACTGAACTATACCATTTAGTTTTCTGAAAACCAGTGAAATTCCCCTTTAACGTGTTTGACGTGTAACTTCTCGTTTGCAGAGAAACTTCATTAGTTTCCATACTAGTTTCCACATTTCACTGGAGTCACTGGATTTTTTCTACACTAGTCAGTTCTCACAAAATAAGACACTGGGTTAGGTTTAGATTTGCCATTTCTGGCTGGACTGTTTGGAAACAGAAAACTATTGAACGATTTTGCATTTCGTTCTAAGCAGTTTGTAGTGTGCTGTGCATGATTTGGTTTATAGCGCCCTCTACTGGCGCTAAAAACAAGTGGAAACCAAAAAACCTTAAAATCTATTTTAAGCCTAAGCCAAAACTTTATCACAAAGCTATTATAAAACAATGTGTCAGGCAGTGTATTCATAACCATTTCATGTAATATCTTTACATGAGAGTGCCTTTAGAGGTGGACGTCTGGTTCCTATCACCACCTCTGTGAACAATTCTGACTCTGTTTCTCTAGAACAGAGCATTTCACACCAAATCACTCTGAATGGCTTTGTTTACATCTCATTTAATTATATAGAATTTTTTAAACATCTGGAGTTTCCCTTTAAGAATATATCATTTTTATATGTTTAGACTGTAAAGTAAGCTTATGGTTGTTTTATCATTTCAGCCTGCACATTGTTTTGAAATGATATGTCTATTCTGTCTATACCGTCAAGGGGAATTCCACCAGCATTTCAAAATTTCTGTGTAATTTGATGGTTGAGATGTAAACAGAGTCATTTAGATTGGTTAAATATCACGTGGCTCATTGTAGAGAAACTTACTGACTTGAATTTCTTTACAATGGTGGTGATGGGAACCAGGGGTTATATTGACTACTGCACAAATATAGCCATTTTACCCTATTTAAAATGAACCTACACGTATCTTGTGAGTTCATATATGAAATGTTGGTCATGGCAAAAGAGTGATAAATCTGCAAAAATAAGTGTTCTATTTGACCTTATGCTGCCCTGCATATTAGGCCAAAAACATATTTCAAAACTATCAATAACGGTGTCTCAAACATCATGCAAAAACTTTGTGTAATTAGCTTTTAGGGGCATTAAATCCCTCAAACATCTGGTTCCTATCACCACCACAGTGAACAGTTCTGATTCTGTTTCTCTAGATTGAATCAAACTATTTAGAATGATTTTGTATATATCTTACTGATTTCCTTTTGTCAAAATTTTGAAAAATGTATGGAATTCCCCTTTAAGCCACTCTTTATTGTTAGCCACTGTCTTTGTTTCCTTATGATTATTATTATTAAGCAAATATATACATGTACAGGAGTATACATTCATGCCAAAACATTACACAAACATAGAATTAAAAAAAAATGATTGCAAATTAAAATACAAAGCATTTGTATGATGGGGAAAAAGAAGGAAACGTATTATAATATAAAGCATTTTAGAGTTACTTTTCCTTTAAATTGCTTTATCATTTTGTTCAAAAATGAGATATTAATAGCTTTTTTATTATGTCAGAGAGTCACTGAAAACCAATAAAAAAATAAAATAATCTGAAGTTAGGAGTGGATGACATAACCCTGGATTTATGTATATGAGATTTACCCAAAACTATTATTGTCACAACGTTATTAACAGCTCAGTTATCATCACAAACTACACACAGAATCTTTATGTTATTCAGCAGAATGAATGCATGGATAGCTGTAAGTGTCAGAAAAGATACACTGTATGCCCAAAAGTTTATAGACACCTGCTCATCCAACTTTCTTCTGAAATCAAGAGTGTTAAAAGGCAGTTTGTCTTCGGCTCTTCTGGGAAGACTTTACATTATATGCTTAAATATTGCTGTGAGGGTTTGATCGCATTCAGCTGTAAAAGCAATAGTGAGGTCAAATGCTAAGGTTGGATCCAATTCCACTCCAATTCATCTCAGGGGTACTGGATGGAGCTCCATCACTCCAGAGAACACAGTTCCACTGCTCCACAGTGCAATACGGGGGGGCTTTATTCTCCTCTAGATGACACTTCGGACTGGGAAGGATGACGTTATGCTCATGTGTGGCTGCTCCAGTGCATCCAAATCTGTTACTAAAGCTTTTCTATGGAGATTAGATCCAATGAGAGAGAAGAAAATTAAGCTCCACTCTTGCTTTAGATCTGAAAAATAATATCTGCTTTAACTGGAAATTAAAGAAATGAAAGAATAATTCTTTTGCACAGTTATAGATAGTGTATGAAATGCTATATCAATTATTTTAATATCTCAAGAGACTTTCTTGGTTGTTAGTCATTGTTCTCTTAGCTTTATTTGTTGCTACTTTCTCTCATTTAGGCACTGTTTAGTATGGATAATGGCTTTAAACTGAGAGCAGTCTGATTGTACCTGCTGGATATGACTGATTATTGGTTAACCTTATATCTCCTTGAGTGCATGTTTTGAAAAATAAGTATGGTCCAGACAGTGTCATTAGGTAGTGTTAATATGATTCCCCTGGTGAGTGCCTGATGGTGTTTCTGTACTTGATGTAAATGTGATTGTATACATTTACACGTACATTGACTGCTGAGATGCTGTTGGCTTCAGTTCACCACTTTGTCAGATCAGGAAGGGCACTAACAAATGATATTGTCTTTGTTATGTCCTAAAATATTTTACAATAGCACATTAGGTAATATGAATGTATATAACTATTGCAGCAGGCCTATAGTGTGGCTTAAAATTAGCAAACATTAGTCCTCTGATATGAAAAGAAAAAAGCAAAGCACCTTAGATAATTCAGCATGAGATTAGTACTGACTACTGGCAATCAAAGTCTATTAATAGAAAATGTAACTGGTTTGTGTGCATTAACATTGTTTTTTAACTACTCTGAATAAAAATGGCTCTGAAGGTATCTTTTAGCTTTTAGCTTACATTTATACCTGTAAGTTATGACTGGACTGGGCAAGAGAATGATTTTTACAAGAGGTGTAACAATTCACAAAACTCTGATTCTTGATTCTACACAATTTTTGAAACAGCAAAAATAAGGAATGGCTGAATTGTTCAATGCTTACATTTTCAATTTATTGGCTTGTTCAGCATTATGAAAGTACAATATTTGAAACAAAAACTGAACTTTATAGTGTCCCAATCTAATGCTTTAGTTCCAAGCTAACATGCTATACAACATATCATTGCTTAACAATACAGTACATGCATTGTGCACTAATACAGTACGATATATTGTATTGTTCCATCCCTAGATTTTACCTTTAAAGTATATAGCATTTAACTTATAACTTTCAGACATACAAATCTGACTGAGGATTGGGTAAGAGAGTGGCTTTTACTAGAGCTGAAACGATTCATAAAATTCAGATTTTGATTCAAAATGATACAGTGGTTCTCAGTTACAGTTTATTAGAGCATTTAACTTTATGAAAGTACAATATTTTAAACAGAATCTGTGCTTTATGATGGAATGCTTTAGCCACAAGCTAACACACTAGCTACAAGCTAACGTGCTAGTCATGATTCAGCAGTACAACGCAATATAATACAATATGCTGTGATACAATTCGATGCGTTGTATTGTTACATCCCTAGCTTTGACCTTTTTATGGTGTATAGCCTTTAATTTTTATATATTATAGCTTTTAACTTACATGAATATATAATTTAAAGGTTTATAAATTGACTGAGGGTTGACTAAGAGAGTGCCTTTTAACTTTTGAGGTGTATAAATCGAGTAACTTATGCTTCAAGAATAAACAGGATTGGCAGGCAGGAGTGAAAAATACTTGAGTAGTTCTAATTTGTTATTATACGCAAATATTATTTATGAAAGATTTATACTTTACTCTAGTGTTATTGAAACGGAATACCCTTAACGTTACTTTCACCCTGTTACATTTCATAGAGAAAAAAATACTATTATTCCTTACATTTTCATTTAGATCGTCAAAGTGGCCGTTGACTTCCACTCAAGTATAAAACTTTAAGTAAAGTATAGTTTTGGACCCACATTTCCATTTTTAACTGAGTAAGATTTTGAGAAAGTACTCATGTCTCCTACAGGTTCTTTGTCATTTTGTCCTGTGTAAAGGCGATGCGAATGAAATGTATTGGAGAAAATCAGTCTGACTGGTTCGCCTCTCCCTCCGAGTGCTCTGGTTGGTCACTGTCTATGATTGACAGGTCCATTAACCAATCATTTGCAAAGGAGGCGTCAGGGGATTTTCAAACCTCAGGAAAAGAGGAGAAAAACTTCCCAAAAGTACCGGTCACTCGAAACGACTCTTGTCAACCTGTCTCTCTTGTCCTCCATCCGTTTAAGACAAGTGGAAATATTTAACGACTATTCATGGATGAATTTGTTGAATAGTGCTCTACAGGATTTAACTTGACGTGTCGCCATGTTTTCATTTGTCACTTTCAACAGTTAAATGGGATTAAATTTACAAGACGGCTCAGCTCATTTTTCTTCCCGCAAAGCTCGCTAACTCAGTCAGGTGGCCGGTTATTCAGTGAACCGAAACTGCCTGCTTTGTTTGACTTTTTCATACATGAGATGGCGGGTGTGACACTTCAGGTAAGAATAAATTAAGTATTTGGCTTTTAGTTTGAGAGAAGGACACTGACGGAGTAGTGAAATAAGTCTGCAAATGTGTGGATAGTGCAAGTTATTAGTTAGCGAGCTGGCTAGCTCACCTAGCTCAGGTCACTAAAGTTAGCCGTTAGCTCTGCAATGTTGACGTGAATATGTGAAAGCGGATAAAACTAGTAAAAGTGTTGAGAAATTTCACTCTTAAGGTCGTGTTTCAGTCGAGAAGTGACTGGTGGACATAACTCGGAAATGAAATTTACTCTCAAGTTCTCTTGGCCAAGCGAATTTCTCAACTTCATAAGAAGCTTAAGAAATCACCGCCTTCAGAGAAAACATTTTCCAGCTTGGTAGGATTTTAAAAACACACCAGACGTGACCGTACACGGATTTTAAAGCCACCCATTCCTGTTCCACTAGAGTAATCATTTTTAAAGTAGTGTTGTTTGTATTTGTCAAGATGTAGAGTCATCGTTAAGGTGGATAGCTGCTTGTTCAGATTTTCAGGTTGAGCAGGTTTGACAGGGCTTGGCTTCCTCTTCTACAGGTGGATATTGTTGAATTTAAGATTTCTTTTCTTGACTTTTTTTAATCTTTTCCGGCAGCTATTGAGTCAAAGGGACACTGTCTAAAAGCAAGCTAGAAGTCAACCTTGAAAGTGATATTTACTTTATGTTTATTGACCCTAGGAGAGACAATGAAACACCGTTCATAGTGAGCCCAGCCATACTTGTTAAAGGGTCATGTATATCCTAAACTTTTGTTGGATTTTATTTTAAGGTCAAGATCTACATGTGACTTTTGTTTGAGTTTATGTATGGATTCATTTGATACTGTGCCTTTAAGACTGATATGTAAATGTCTGTTCCCTGTTCTGATTGGTCGCCCTGTATTGTGCCTCATTCAGTCCAGGCTCAAACACTCCTTATGACATCAGTATGAATGGGTGGGCCAAACTGCTGTAGAAAGACTAGGCAGATATATTACTGGTATGTAAAATCAACTTTAAAATAGGCGGTTCTTGCAGCTTAATATTTATATATGGACTGGGACTTTTTTTTTTAACGATAAGGGCTTACTGTTGGGATATCTGTATTGCCTTGTTTTCTCATTTTGGCCCATTTAGTTAAAATCATTTCAATTTAACTTGTTTGCATCTCTAAATGCACATGATTATGTTATGGTTTGACCCGTACCATGCTCAAGCCTGGGGTCTAATCCTCTTTTAAGAATGCTAAATGTAGAGTGTTGTTGCTGGGTGAAGTCCACAGTTCACACAAAACCAATAATGCTGTGGTTTAGAATGTTTTGTGTTATCAGCTAGCTTTGACATACTCATTACTGATTTAGATTAAAGTGACCAGTTCCCCATCTGCAATGGACACACAACATTAGGCACTCAGATTTTGCCTGACCTCTTTTGCATCATCCTTCCTTTAAAAGCATCGTCATAGGACCTATGGAGCACTGTGCGAATCCTTTTACCATATCTGGTAATGATATCCTGCAGTATCTGCCCTGTGTAGTCTGCTTAAAAATGATAATTAGTTTTCCGTAGTTTATTTAAATGTTTACCTGATCCAGTGGGCAGGTTTTTGATTGGTTCATTAATTATTTAATGTGTTTGCAGACATTTTTTGATAAACTTAGATGTCACACTTCCATTATTGGCTAGTGGACTGGTTCTAGGCAGTACTGATAACATTTTAATCACATTTTTTTTAATATCATGTTATTAGACAATATTTGAAGTTATTGAGGCCGTGCTTCCTGAGTGCTAATCCTTGATCAGAAAATAATCTCTTACAAACCCTACAGTTTCTTTTGATTGGACTCTTTTGTTCTGTTTTCTTGACTTAAAATGCCGTTAAAGGAACCGTCCGCGGTGTTATAAATGCACACCAGACAGAGAAGAGATGTCCAGAAAGGAAACTTACTATATATTTGGTTGTTTTTGTAATGGATTTTACACTTCCAAACAAATTTAAAGAACCCAGTAAATGACATACATTGCAGGTAGCTGTCAGGCCCTGGATACCTTGAATAGGGCCGAACAATTAATTATTTTTATATTGAAATTGCAGTTTGAAAAAGGCAATTATTAAGTAATGAGAGCTGCAATTTAATGATATCCATATGTTATTCACATTATTTAAAGGAGAATTCCACTGGTTCTTTTTCACATTTCTGCATAATTAACTCACTAGGATGTAAACAAAGTCATTCAGTGTAGTTTGTTGTGAAATAACTCTGTTCCAGAGAAAGCTACCAACTCTTACACTGGTAATGATAGGAACTGGATTGTGATGTCTACATCCCATTTTATTTACTATCCTAAACCACCAGTGAATCTATAGAAAATTAAGTTTTAGGCAAAAATCATGTCTCAAACTGTCATAAGACAATATCTCAGGCAGCAGGTAACATATTTGTAACCATCTCATGTAATAACTTTCTGTTAGGGGAGCTTTAAATACATTACAATGCCTCAGAAGTTTGGTTCCCATCACCACCACACAGGTTTCTCTAGAAAGGGGTATTTCCCAACAAATCAATCTGAATGCCTTTGTTTACATTTTTAATGGTTTCGTTTTGCAGAAAGAAAAAAAAAATCCATGGAATTCCCTTTGACGACTCGTAAGTGGGAAAAACTAACCTCATGAAACAGAGTTTGTGAACTGGCTGCCTGACACACTACATACAGCCCTAAAGCCTCAAGTCCAGAAAACGGACTTGTGCTACTTTGTGCTGTCAAAGTATAGGACCACTATTAAAAGCTAATACACTACGTGGGTCTAGCCCTGATTTTTCTGTCAATGTTTTAGGACCTGTGGCAACAGCCCCCTTTTGTGTAGCATGTTCTTTGCTAGGGGTGGAAAATATGAGAATATTGCATTATTTTATGCAATAATTTTAGGAAAGTCAGTGTACTTGTAGTTTTTAATAGTATTTTAAAAACGGTTATGGTGATACACATTGTAAATCATATAAATATCATATGTTTTTACCATATCGGTAAATATCAGTAATACTATCAGTAATACTGATCCATGAATGAAGTTTCTCTTTCCTCCATCCATGTTACTGCAGATTGGTTCCTTGCGGGGCCTGGCCGAGGGCGATCTCCTGGACCCAGCGTTTCAGCAGCGGCTGGAGGATGCGCGTGCCCTGCTGAGGCAGGAGATCCAGCGCGAGCTGAAGATCAAGGAGGCAGCAGGGCGGATGCGGCAGGCTGTCACCAACAAAAAAAGTGCCGCTGATGTGGAGGGCCAGCTGCGTGCCTCCAGTCGCAAGCTGGAGCAGCTCCATTGGGAGCTCCAGGAGCTGAATGCACTCGCAATGGCCACGGAAAAAGAGACCGCCACGGGTGAGAGGGGTACTGTTGTGGTGGTGTAGTGATGTACATTTTCTTTTATTTCATAAATTGAATTTGCCGATGCTAGAAATCTGTAAAATCATTTTGAATCTCATTTGAAATTTGAATATATTCTAGCTGCTCTTGTTTCTTGGTATTGTTGTTGTGCATGATTTGCTTGTATTTTTTGCATGTTTTTCATGTTTACAGCTACCATGCATATGCTAAATGAGCGTATTGTTGTCAACACATTTAATATAAACATAATTTGAGAAACACATTGTGATAGATGTGAAGCCCTACGAGGTGATGTTTTAAACTGATCAACCGCAGACCAATACAGCAAGCTGACGCCTCAGTGACACTTAGAAACCGACTTTAATCAAAAGATGGCAGTATTAGAACACATTTTAGATGATTAAAGTCTACAGCACTTACTGCTTGAACACTTCCTGACTTAGCAACAACTTGTGAAACAGCACAGGCAAAGCTAAACGATAGATTAGGAGGGTATAGTTATGTGGGTGTAGAAAAAAATATGTATGTGTGGAGAATACTTGACACACTTTATTTCATGAATTTTATCATTTATGGTCATTTATAAATGCAAAACTAGTTAAAACATTCTGGGCCACACAGGATTTTTTCAGAAGGTTTAGGCTTGAAGCGACTGGCAATCACATACTAGAAAACTGCTGAGGGTAAATAAACACACATGTTTATCATCATCTTCTTTATCATTTGCGCAGCTGCTCTGCTCCTCGTCCACTCCGCACCACCCATATACTCTGGTCGGGGTCCAGAACTCTGAGACCACCAGTGATAATGCTTTTATTTTGCATTCCAATTTAAAACACTTATGTGAGCGCTTTGTTAAGGACAAAGCTTAGAAGGCAGAGAGCACATGGCTGGTGTTAGAACACTAGCTCTGGCACTGCTTTAACTAGGATAAGTACTCTTTCTGATGTTAGCTAGGTCCAGAAACAGTGAAAATAAATTTCTCTGACCAGTTAACATGATGGGCACATCATCCACTGAGGAGAAAATACTACCTGTAAGAAGATAAGTTTTCATCAGCATCAAACGTTTTACTAACGTTATTTCTGTTAGCTCAATAACTCAGAGAGTCAGCTTCTGTTACGCATCTAACACAAAAACCTACTGATTTCCCTATTTTTGAACAATAAAAAAACTTGAACATGTGTACCTCTATGTGCTGGTACATTTTTATGTAACGCCAGTATTTTCACCTCTAAAGGTTCGCCTATAGCCCTGTGTTAATGTCATCTGAAGTCGACATTAACAATGTTTTTTGTTGGTTTCTGCTCCGTGCAGTTAACTGATTATCTATTCGTTAACACATATCAAAATTAGTCCCTAATCTCAGCAAATAAAAATTGAGTTTTCATCAGTTAAGGTAAAGGCAAAATAAAGCAGAAAATGTATTTATTGAGACACATCATAGGACTTACAAAGCATCATAAAGGTCTATCTTCTGACTGGTGCTCATGGAATACCTTTAGAGGGCAGTGGTGAGTAATGTTTGTTTATTTGAGCTCCACCTGTGTCTCTCAGTTGGAAGCTTCTAAGTATGGACAGTTAAGAAACAACATAGCAAATCGTCCACTTTGGCCGCTTTAAGCTTGTACTTTAATAGTTGCTGACAATGAACAAAAAAATACGAATTATTAACTGCGATTATTTATGCATAATTAACATAATGCATAATTGTTATGGCAATTAATTGTGAGCTAAAATGCCATGATCGTAATAGACCCAGTGGGGGGTAGTTTTTATTGCAAAACACCCCCACTCTACATACGTGACATTTAGCCCACTTCAGCAAAGCTTGTAATGTGTTCACATACTTTGTGTCTAGAAAACAAATATGCTGGGCAGTGCTGCTTTTGTAGTATTTAGTTTTTGACCCTAAATGTCTGACGAGCTGGCTGATAGGCTTTTTTATGACTTCTTTTCCCAGATACTGCCACATCTCCGGATCCCTGCCACTGGGAAGACGCTACATCTCCGCTGGCCAGTCGCATCCGCACTCTGCGGAAACAGCTCACCATGGAGCTGAAAGTGAAGCAAGGAGCCGAGAACATCATCCAGACGTATGCAAACAGCTCGGTCAAGGTGAGGAGCTCCTGCAGTGCCCCTCCCCCCATCTCTACCCCCTTTTAATCTACTCAGTAGTTCTAATTTAATACCAATGCATTATGTTTCTGGAAATCAACTAACCTTTTTTTTCCCTATACTGTGGATTCAGTTATGTTATCATAATTGGCCCTGTCTTTTAGGTTGGGCTTTTGCCAGAAAACCTCCCCCATTCTCTGAAGGCTTTATATTCCCCCTCTTCCCTCCTCCTTTAAACCCCTTTTAGACTGATGGACCCATGTCCTCTAGCGGAGCTGAGATTGTGTTTGACCACGTATTTCTATCAGCCAAACTGCCTTAGAACACTCTGTTCTTGCAGGCTGTGATTTACACTGCTGCTGCCACCATCCTGGAAGCAGACAGCTTGAGTACCAAGCCCGCCGTCTCACATGCACTCTGACACGGTCTTTCTCACACACACACACATGCGTGTTAAGGGGAGGATGCAGGCTGGTTCTGATTCGGTTTCTCTTGTGCTGGGCTTGGCGACAGCAGCAGGGCATGTGACCGAGGGCCAACCAATGCCGTTGCGTTCTGGTCTGGGCCAGCCAGGCTGGGCAAAAACAGCAGCAGTACTGGCACAGAGCTAGCTAACTCTTGTGGAGAAAGAGAAGGAGAGAGAGTGAGAAGAGAACGAGTGAGAAAAGGGGATGTGCAGAGGCATTTGACTGAGGGAGGGGGAGAGAGAGAGAGAGCGCAAGGAAGTGAACAGGATGCAAGGACACTAAAACAATAAGGAGAAGGTGAGAAATGGCTTGTCGGGTGCTGATGAGGAACATGCTGCGGGTCAAGTGGAAAAGGCAATGCCTGAGGTCCAAGCACAAACAGACCATCAGCGTGACCAGGTCTGACTAGGGGCGATAAAAAGACCTTGACTGCAAGAGAGAACGTCTGATGGGGAGAGTGGAAGAAAAAGATGTCTTACAGCAGTGTGAAAGTCCACAAAAGATGACTGATGAGCTGTTAAACTGCCTAGAGCGGGGGAGAGCGCTGTGGACGGTAGTGTTTTTGTGCTTGTTTTCAACTTGTATCTGCTTTGTGGGGTTTTGGATGATCAGCACTCTTTGCAATACGGATTTGGGTTTTAGAAGGTGAAAGTGCCTTGCAAAGCCTGTAGTAGAATGTTGCCTGTCAAGTGACTGCATGTCCATTGTTTACATTACCATACCGCTTAAAGCTGCGTTCTTTAATGTTCTAAATACTGCCCCCTACATGCCATGTAGTCAAAACAATGCCCCTGTCTCTCTACTGAGCAGTGATGCTTCTTGTCCCTTGTCAGCAACAAACCTTGAATGGATTTACTCAGTGTTACTCAGAATTCTGGTTATGATTGCATTTTATAGAATGCAGCTTTAAAATTAGGTTTGTGTTGCCATTACATGTTATTTTGCATGACTGCTCGTAACGCTTTGCTATAAAAATAAAAATAGCACAGTCAGGGTTGTTTGTACAGTATGTGGCTGGGTTTGCTGTACACCTGGATTGCTGTTATAATGGATGTGATCACAGAAAGAGATGGGTGGCTATAAAAGGCTACAGCACAACTGATCTGCTGGTCATCATGTTACTGAAGGAAGGTCAGCCTGTGCTTTCTGACCTTATATTGTGTCTCTCTTTTTTTTCCCCTCTGTCTCTCACTTGACTTTCTCTTGCTCTTACAAACTCTTCCTATCTAACTCTCTGCTCTCTCACTCACACACTTCCTGTGTCTTTATCTTCCTTTCACCCATCTGTCAATCTCCCTCTTTCCAGGATCGAAAGATGCTGTCCACAGCCCAGCAAATGCTGCAGGATAGCCGGACCAAAATTGAGCTGCTGCGCATGCAGATTGTGAAAGTGACCCAGGCCAGAGAGGGAGAGCGAGAGGCCACAGACCAAGATGGTTAGCAGTGACCAACATGGGCAAACATATCTCATATCTTAAAACGCTGTATAAGAAAGCACAAAAATAGTTAGTGACAGTAGGACAGATGAAATAAGTGTAGTTTGAGTAGGTTCCTTGAGTTAGGGGAGGTTCAGCAAGAGGGTTGTTAATAAAGATGTTTCTCCGGAACAGGCTAATTACCTATAAATTCCCATTGCAAGCATTTAATTCCATTGAGTTTCAAATAGTGAATTCCGTGCACCATTCATAAGAGTTATTGCCGGTTCTGTTCTCCAGGCAAATCCAGGCATATTATGTTTATTAATCTTACAAGTGGTCTTCATGCTTGCAGGCCGGCCCTCTGAGACCATCAGTCCCCTGGAGCTGAGGATGGAGGAGCTCAGGCACCACCTGAGAATTGAGGCTGCAGTAGCAGAAGGGGCCAAGAACGTGGTGAAGCAGCTCGGGGGACGCAGAGTTCAGGACCGCCGTGCACTGGCTGAGGTGAGCCAGGCTTTTGTTTGTTGACACTGATTTAAACTAGTCATGTGTATTTGCATCTCATCATGAAACAGGTGCTACCGAATAGGGATTGAAAAATTGGAAACCAAAATAGGTCTTTTCAGCAGCTCAGTAGTGATGTAGCATTTCAGCTGCGGCTAGAGAATGAGGAAATTATATTTATCCTGTAGAAATATAGAGATACATACAGATATAGAGCAATTAACCACAGCTAGTGTATACTGACTACATAAACCACATAGTAAGGGTTGCATGACTACAAAGTGGACAGTTATGTGATGAAAGGTGCCAGGCCGTTGCCGTATGTCATGTACCTCCACTCCCAGTAGCCCCTCTGAGGCCAAGTCCCTGAGGATGCGGACTGGTCTAGTCTGTGCAACCCCTACTGTATTCATTAACGGCAGCACCTTTTTTCATACGCTGAACGTTGTGCAAGAGCTTTTCACATGCAAGTGTGTGGAATTTCTCTACAGTTTCACTACTTCAGTGTTCTTGTTGATGTAAATCCATTTTGTTTGTCCAACATCTGAGTAGACTGCATTTTTGTGTTTAGGCCCAAGCCCGTTTGCAGGAGTCCTCTCAGAAGTTGGATCTTCTGCGTCTGTCTTTGGAGCAAAGGCTTGGAGAACTCCCCCATGACCATCCTAAACGAGGGGCCATTAAAGAAGAGTTGACTGTTGGTGCCTCTCCCACTGTAGGCCTGCAGAAGGAGCGACAACACTCTTCATCCTCTGCATCCTCCTCATCGTTCTTCAAACCAGCCAGCCTTACAGGTACAAGCACTGTGTTCTTGGCCAGACTTAAACGGTTCTTGGCTTGGGTGCACAGTTCTCAGAAAATCTCTTAATTGGTGTGTAACGGTAGTGCTCAAAATTTCTGTCTTGGGGAAAGAAAATACAGTGGTTGTGGTGGGCTGAGGGACAAAATGACAAAATAATATACAAATAAAGAAGCTAGGTAGGTTTCAAATTAAGTTTTAAACATTACTCTCTATTTTGTTCTTTTATAACTTTGAAAATGCCATTTTACAAATGCTATTGTATAAAAACCTGTTTGTTTTCTCATTGAGTGTTGGGATGGGATTAGGGTAACTTTCTTAGTGGCCCAATCAAATGTCCTCACAGGCCAACTTTGCCAGCAGGCCATATTTGTGGTAGCCCTGGTAATAGAACTTTTACATTATGTGGACGTTCTTTATATTCATTAAACTTCTGAAAAAATGTCTTCACATATCTCATTTACAAAAAGGTTTTTTTTTCTTCTCAAAGGAAGGTTGCAAAGCTCTTTTGGGAACCAGAAGTGGTTCTTTTATATAATCACCCCAAAGATCCCTTTTTAGCACTTTCATTTTTAAAAGGTTATATTTGTTCTTGGATATTGGATTTTAGATTTTATTAATGTTATTATATTTAAATACCAAAAGAAATTACCATTGTCATTAATTGTGGTTTATTGGGAGTATTAGTAAATGTGTGAATTATGTGTACAATCTTTGCTAAGGGTGTTTGTTTGTGTAGGTCGGCTGGAGGTTAGGTTGATGGGTTGTCAGGATCTGTTGGAGTCTGTGCCAGGCCGTTGCCGTATGTCATGTACCTCCACTCCCGGTAGCCCCTCTGAGGCCAAGTCCCTGAGGATGCGGACTGGCCTGTCCACACGCAGCACCAATGGCAAGACGGCCAAGACCGACGATCTGTCCAGTGAGTCCAAAGGTCACATGACTAAAAATCTGGAATTCCATGACTACTGCAATTGCCATTGAGGTCATTTTGACAAAACAAAAAATAACTGTAAAAATAAGTATTTTTGGATTGTTTCAAGAAATTACAAATTTTAATTCTGATTTTTGATGATCCTTTATTAATTAATCCATAAACGACAGTACTAGACAACAAAGGCTGTTTTTTAATGGATAATTTGATGGATTTGCTTTCCGTAGTCATATTCCCTAATCTGTTCCATAGTATTGCTAATGTTTTGTTCTATTTTGGCCTGTTTTAAGCTATTTGCCAGTTTCCAGCTATTTTGTGTGGTAAATCAGATGAGGTGAGTTGGCTACTGAATAACTGCTGATATAATAACATCCACCTCTTTGGAATAGCAGGAAGAAAGTCCAGTGTATACAGTCAAAATGACTACTAATGGCCATACAAGCTAGAAATACGTAACTTTTTGTGCTTTGTAAAATTGGTTTCATAACATTGTCAGACTAAAATGTACACTCATTCAAAGTCAGGAAACATTAGATATGGGGGGGAGTTATATTGTCAAAACTGTCACATCACACTGTCACAATGCAAACTATCACAACATTTCAAAATGGTCAAAATGACCACTTCTGCCTTTCTAGTGTTAGAAAACAGACTCAATGTTTTGACTTTCAAATGACAGAATCACTTTTTTGTCTTCTTTTCTTAGTTGCTAGATTCAGAGTAAGGTAACTACCAGTGAGCAGAGTCATGGGTTTCATGGCTGAGTCAGTTTCTTAAAGTTGTGCCCAGCAAAAATGGTGTAGTAGGAAAGGTATTGTTACATTTAATGGGAAATGGACTAGTGCATATTTGTGTTTTTTAATTACAGATATTTTTAAAAAGCTCTGTGTAATTCAATCGTTGAGATGAAGTAACATCATTCAGAATAGCTTGATTTTAAATGGTTCATTGCAGAGAAACGTATTCAGATTCTCTGACTTGCTGACTCTTCTGTCGTAAGGACAAAATTGTGCAGAAATGTAAAACAAAAAATCAGTGGAATTCCCCTTTAATTACAGACATCTTGTTTGTGTATGCGTTCTGTCCTTCATTGCAGCGGAGATCAGCGCAGTGTTGAAGGTGGATAACCGGATGGTGGGCCGCACACATTGGAGGCCTGTGGGTAAAGAGGCTTGGGATCAGAGCTTCAGCATCGAACTGGAGCGGGTCAGTGATGAAGAACCCATACATACATACATACATACATACATATGTAAATGAATAAATACATTTGTTTATTTAGCAATAGCTCAAAGGTGCACCCCCTAAACCTGAGAGAAGCTTGAAGCTGATGTGTCTCAAATGTTACCCAGGAGATAAAGAAGTCTAGTTGTTAAGGGTCCTGTGCATCATCAGACAACAAAAATGCTTGTTGTGACTAGACTGTTGGCAGCTATTGCTGTTTGTCTATAGACTTTCCTTTGACTTCATCAACACAGCTTTGCTAGTAAAGTGCAATCAGCCCCTCCAAGCCTTCCTCTCTCTAACTGTAATCCATAACTAATCCCCCAACATCACTCTAATCTTTTACTCGCCTCGGAGGCCAAGCACGGCGCCTGAATTCTGGCCAAGGCTGCCTTCAATTCTGGTTCCCAGAGATTGTCTTTGAAGGTCAGCCTCAAGCTGATTCGGTTGTATCTGCTCAAAATGAGAACATCGTTTTCTATCGGATATGGAGATGTTAGAGATGTTGTACATGTCTTAACTCCAGTGCTTCACTACGGGGTGAAATTGTGTCCCACTGGGGTGGAGTTATCTCCTGCATATTGTTTAATATTACGTGTGACTAGCAGCATGTATATGCCTTGCGTTAGCAGAATGCATTATACATGAGATCTGTTTTATTGCATTAAACATTTTTTTTATCGCAGAAAAGTCCATTTCCAGTCAAGTTGATGTTCAAGTTGATGTTCACATTAATAGAATGCATCTTAGTGTTTCTGGCTGTTGACATATGTGTTGTGTAGTAATAACATGTTCTATCCTTTGCCTTCATCAACACTGCGTTTTATTAAAGTATAGTATAGTAATAATAATGAGCATGGTATAGTGGGCTGAAATTGAAAAATGAGTCAAAAGATTGTGTTCACATGAGCTTCTCTGGCTCTTCTAGTCACGGGAGCTGGAGATTGGAGTGTACTGGCGAGACTGGAGGGCCCTGTGTGCCGTAAAGTTCCTTCGTCTGGAGGACTTCTTGGATAACCAGCGGCATGGAATGTGTCTTTACTTGGAGCCACAAGGCACACTGTTCACAGAGGTATGAGCGCATTTTAGTTTAAGCCGTTGGCTGAGGGCTATGGCTTGTATTTATTTTGATATGTGGTTGGTTGGTTGTTCAGCCTTACATGGGCCATATTTATCTGAGGCTTCAGCTTGTGTTGGACTGCATGCATTAATTACATTAGTTTACCCAATCTGAAGTGTTTAATTTGTTTCCTTTAGCAGTTTGTGGTGTTCTTCAGAAATGAATCAAATGAGAGCTGTGTTGAAAATGTATATTCGTTTAATTGCAGGTGAGGTTCATCAACCCGGTCATTGAGCGGCACCCAAAACTACAGAGACAGAAGCGTATATTTCCCAAAGAGAAAGGTACACTTATAACCCATAAAATCCTGGGGGCATAAATGTCCTATAAAACAAAAAAGAGCGACTAAGTATTATAAACCTGTGAAAGTACGGGGTGTATAATTACCTGAAGTAAGCAAATGTTTGGCTTTCCTCATAGACAGATGAAAGCTTTTAGATCACTAGCTCTCAATCTGAGGGTTGCACCCTCCTGTAGGAGGACACAAAATTATTTAGTTCATGGAACTATTAGTAGAAAAGCATGTATACTTATATTTTTGATAATATTTGATGTTTTTATTATTAAACTCTTCCATGCTGATGTCAAATTGTCATTATAAGCTAAAACTGAATGAATGAGTGCATGCACACTGAGGCAAGTGTAACTCCATTTCTGATTGGATGCATTCAGATCTAGTTGTCCTGATCCCAGGGTGAGCATGCATACTGATTGAATCTGTGTGTGATCTAAACTTAGGCCTGCAATATTATTTACGATGTACCGTCATCCAACTGTGCCCCCAGACGTCATCAATTAATGATACCGTTGTGGGCAGCGGTTTCAGCTAGCTTTCCAAAAAAAGGTGCAGAAAACGAAGCGTAAATATAGCTGGTAATGTTCTAATACCACACTACCTGTCGGGCCTGTCTAAACCAAAAAAATAAACATGCATTCTGGATAGAAACTGTTGCTCTTGCTATTGTTTGGTCATTTTTGGTAATTTTTCAAGTTTTAATAAATCATGTGTTTGTAGCCTATAAATTGCTTCTTGTTAGAATAATAAAACAGCTTAAGCTTCAGCATGTAAAGTGACCTTTGTTAACCCCGTTCGTGTTTTGTGAGGGAAGCCGTTCTCTGTGTGGAAGGTTAACCTTGTGCTGCTACAGAACGTCCTGAGGCCAGACAAAATATCAGGCCTTATTCAGTACATGCACTTACGTTACACATTAAAAGAAAACTGGTTAAGAGTAAACCGACTGCAAGACAATTATAATTACTTTTGTGCATCTTAAAGCTGTGGATGGCAAGTTTTCAGATATTTAAGTTATTCTTTCATCATGCATAACCATTTTTTCCTTGAGTAAGTAAAATTCTGGGTAGCACTTTCTAGCCAATTATCTTTTCAAATTGCCACAGGGGTACAAAAGTAACTCCTACAATTGGGGGAGTGGTACTGGTAGCTAGCAACCTATTGACTACCTAATTACTTTTATTTTTTCTTTACATATGAGAACACTGAAAAACAATTTTTAGAGCATCACAAGGTTTAGCATCCTCACTTCTGCAATTTTCAACATGATGTGAAGCACCTTGTACATGGCATGTACCTCACACGCTCACTCAGTTTAGCAGGCCAAATACTCTCCAGAAGGGGGCATTCTTAGCACTCAGTTGGTGCTTTCTGTTAGTGGTTCTTGTGGTATCAAGTGGCATCAATGAGAATTTTCCCTTTTTTCCCCCCATAAGGTAAAAACTTCCTGCGGGCGGCACAGATGAACATGAACTTTGCCACGTGGGGGCGCCTGATGATGAGCGTTTTGCCACCCTGCAGCAGCACCATCACAGCCATGAGCCCACCACTGGCCGCCTCTGACTTGCCCTCCCCCCCGTTGCCTGTTGGGCCTGACCCCACTTCGCCACCGTCTAAGGAGAAAACTTCCATATCCACCCCTCCTCCTCCAGGGTAAGCCTCTTTTTACAGCCAGCATTACTGGGGTTATGTTAAGTAGTGTCATGGTGGTATCTGTTATGTATCTGTTATGTCTGGAACTAGGACCTCAGTAGTCTTGGTACTACATGTTTTAGGTCTTTCTATAGATGTCCAAACTAAGCTTAATCCACATCCTCTTTAAAAGCAGGTTATGACTTGCTGTGTTTATGATCTACTAATTTGCCATCACTGTGATTCTTTTATTGCTTGCTGCTTACAGAGACTCAGCAGTTGTCAAGCTGAACTTCAGCGAGGAGCGACCTCCTAAACCCCCACGCCTCTACCTGACGAAGACCCCCTCATCAGACGGCCCAGTGTCCATGGTAAGCTCCTACACATTACTGGATGAAATGTATTGCTCATGTCCATCATTCTTTAAAATTTATGATCTTTCCCTTCTTGTGCAGAACTCCAAAGGGAATTCTTGTGAAGATCCCAAAAACAGAGCCGTGCATCAGCCCGCACCTAAGTAAGCTGCCAGTGGCATCTGTGAAAGTTTAAATAGACTCTCTAATTAGGCTTTTTCTCACTCTGTCTCACATGTTCACACATTCCCTCTCCTGAATTTCCATCCAACCATATAATGTCTTTCTCTTGTTTCTTATAGAGTGTCTGCAGGTCCTTAAAAGATCTTACATTTAATTGAATTAAATTAAGGCCTTGAAAAGTCTTAAATGTTTATACTGTTTCTTCCGTATATTTCCTTGTCTTAAATGTGTAACAGTGTAATGCCATTGGATTTGTAGTTTGTACTTGTGCAGTTTGGATGTATTTATCTACAATTCAACGACAGTTGGGGCAGCAAAAGGGCTTTTGCCCTAGTGGTCCTAAATTAAAACTGGTATTAGAAAGATCTTGCATTTCTTTTGTCTAGTACATGTTGTGTTTTCCTCAAATGCGTCTTCCTTCTGTCTGTTCAGACTGACTGACTGCTTTGCTCATGTCTTCTCCTGCTTCTCTTTTAGAAAAAAGGAGTGGCTTCACATGGAGGATTTCAACTGTGTCTCCGTACTTGGTAGAGGCCACTTCGGAAAGGTACAGTTTCAGCCCTCAGCTTCTCTTTGCGACGTTAAGACTGCAGCATCCAGATGCATTGCTGCAGAGTCTTTCTGTCTGTCCTGTTGCAGGTGCTGCTGGCAGAATACAAGAGAACAGGGAAGTTGTACGCCATTAAAGCCCTGAAGAAAGGGGATGTAGTGACGCGCGATGAAGTTGACAGGTGAACAGTGGTCTCTTTATTTAGTACCTGAAGGAATACCAAAAATGTTAACACTGCTGATGAATGAGAGCTGTGTAAATTAAAGGGGCATTCTGAACTTTAATTAGAGTTTTTTGTTTTTTAATTTGGAAAATCTTACTTGAGAGACTCACGTGTCATGGCACCACTGTAGGTACATTTAGAACAGTGGTTACATTCCTATTTTTGTCGAAGTGCCCCTTCAAGATGCTATTAACCTTTATTTACATTGTTAGCTTTATTAAAACAGCAATATGTAAGATTTTTTTTATTTGAAAGAAGTAACAGTCATGGGAGTCATATAATTAATTCATTTACATCTTTTGAAAACACATCCTTCATCAGTTTTTAACTTGTTCTCGTGGATTACTTTTTCAACTTGCAGTCATCAGATTCATCCACTCGGGGAAGGGGTCTGAAGCACAACAAGCATTACAAAATGTTCTTCTGCACGTTGCATGCAATTATATATTTCCACCAGAGAGGTCTCCAAATCCCTAAATCTTACATAGAGTAGCTTTAAGGCTTGTTAATGTATGCTATGTTTACTAGCTAGGAAAAGTTCAAATCCAAAAAAAAGGTGACAATCCTGATTTGTTTAAATAGGCTACACATGCATGTTCCTAATATTGACATTCCATAGGATGCCCGTTTTCTACTTCTGATGATTTTATTGGGCTGTATATGCACTCTCTTTCAGTTTATCAAAAAAAAAAAACTGTACTACTAATTCTACTACATTTTATATTCCATTTAGTCTTGTGTTTTTAATAGAAGTTTTGGTTTATATTTTGCATGTACTCCACCAGTTTGATGTGCGAGAAGAGGATTTTTGAGACCATTAATGCGTCCAGTCACCCATTTCTGGTGAATTTGCATGGTTGCTTCCAGACGTGTGATCACGTGTGCTTTGTTATGGAGTACTCGCCTGGGGGAGACCTGATGACCCACATACACAACAGCATCTTCACTGAGCGGCAGACCCGGTACGTTACACACACATGCGCAGCATTTCTTGCATGCACGTGTGCACACACTGCCTCTTTCACTAGCAGCTTTAAATGCTGTTCTTACATACATATGAACATGCACTCTCATGCACAAAGCTTGTATTTTTTACCTGTTCACTCCCCAGTACATGGGTTATTGTTCATAAGCTGATGGTTCTCTAAGGGAAAACGGTACTAATTTTAAATCTTCCAGTCTTAGAAACAACACTTGTAGATAGATGTACAGTCACCAAAATGGACCTGTTGTATTTACATCTGGTTAAACAAGCTGACTTAATGCTTTTCTTCTGTTCTGTTCAGGTTTTATTCAGCCTGTGTACTTCTGGGTCTTGAGTTTCTGCATCAAAACAAAATTGTTTATCGGTAAATATTCCATTAATGTTCTGTGCTTAGAACTACAGCTCCCGGTCACTTTAACATGCATACTAAATTCAATTCTTTTTTTTTATTAAACAGGGACTTAAAGTTGGACAATCTGTTAATGGATGCCGATGGCTTTGTGAGAATAGCAGATTTTGGTCTTTGCAAAGAAGGTGATGTCAAATATTTAATATTTTGTTTAACTGTTCTATAATACATTCATAAAGGCTTGTTAAATCTTGATACTTAACCAATAGTAGGGAATATATTTGTTCAATTGCTTCAGGAATCAATGACCCCGTTTAACATTTTGCTGTTTGTTTGTGTTCAGGTATGGGGCACGGTGACCGTACATCTACATTCTGTGGCACCCCAGAGTTCCTGGCCCCTGAGGTTTTGACAGACAGCACCTACACACGTGCTGTGGACTGGTGGGGCCTTGGAGTGCTTATCTATGAGATGTTGGTGGGAGAGGTCCGTTAAAACCCTGGCTTCATGCTATTGCAGACTTAAAAAAAATATGCAATAAACCTTGTTATTTATGATCACAGTCTTTGGTCAGTTCTGGTTACAGCTTAAGATCAGGAAGCATTATATCCCAGTGAAGCCTAGATACTAGCCAACTAGCCAACCAGCATGCTTCACTGTAGCTTCTATTACCAGAGAGGCAAACCATGTGAAATTTTAAACAACATGATTGCTGTCCTTGTATTTAATTGCCTTGTTTTTGTAATAATGGATCACATACCACAACAAGTATTGGCTGAGAAACCAGAAGCCTAACTTTTACAGCACTAGGTTCTACAGTGCAAGCAAAAGGCTCACATTTGTTTTCTGATAAATGTGAACAGAATTTAGGATCACTGGTGCAAGAGTAGATTATGACCTGAGTTGCATACGACTTCACTAAGTATGAATAAAAACATGCAGATTTTTTTCAACAGTGGTGTGCCCCTAGAATGCTATTTTGACAGGACATAATGAGAAAATTAGCCCACTTGGCTGATTGCATGTGTCACAAGAAGCTTAGCAAACAAATAACAAGTTTAAGCAATAAAGCCTCACTGTTTAATCAAGAACTGCAGTGTTGTAGAGACTCATGTTGCAGTTAATGTAAATCTCACACATTTTCATAACCTTGAAATAGATTTTCACCCTGAGCTGCACAGCCTCATCACCAAAACAGTTCAACTGCACAATATTGATTTCACATGCTAGGTTTTTATTGATTGATTGATTGCAGGGGGGCCCATAGCTACAACCCATATTAAATGAATAAACACAGTATTACACCAATGTATGGTGTAATCATTTTGTTAAAGTCTGAAGTAATAATGCTGAGATTTCCCCATGTAACTGATTATACTGTCCTTTTTTCAATGATGTGGGTACGAAGGCTTAATCTTAACTTTTGTAAGACAACTCCCAAAAGTGTTCTTCCACTGGTATCTGTCAATCATGATAATGGTAGTGACTCGTCTTTCTATGCGTCTGTTTCTCCCACTCAGTCTCCTTTCCCAGGAGATGATGAAGAGGAAGTGTTTGACAGCATAGTGAATGATGAAGTGCGCTACCCCAGGTTTCTCTCTCCAGAGTCAGTCTCTATAATCCAGAAGGTAACTCTTCACTCACTTTCTTTTTTTTGCATAGCACCGTAAGTGCAAACCTCAGGCAGCCTTACAGGCCAGCCTGTCATCTCATAGGCAGCTGCTTTGTTCGATTATGCAATAAAGAGACTTCAATGTTGAAAGCCTGCAGTATTTTTATCCTCTATCCAAAGAGTTCAAAGTGCAAGTTATATCTAAGCTATGTTCTAAACTGTAGATGCTGTAACAAATGTTATTTCATTGCAAGTGCCAGTGCAGACACAATATATATTTGCGAATAGTTTGTTCTGGGTGGTATTGATAAATTTCACTCTCATGATTTTTCACAAATATCCTACGGTATCAGAAGATGCCAGTTTCCTTTCATAATGTTAATGAGCCCATGCTGCCTGAGTACTGCTACTAATGCTTAAAGCAAGTCCTGCATACCTGCCATTGTTGTTGCAATTGGACTGTTGGATTTGATTTCTTTTCTTAAGGAAACCTAGACAAAAAGCACATTTCCATAAAGATTTTTTACTGTTCATTTAGTTCTGTATTTTGAATTGTTCTTTCAAAATCAATGGAAACAAACAAGATATTTTGTAGTTAACAAATGGCATTTCTCCACCGGGCATTATGGTACACCATAACCTTCAATACCTTCTGAAACTAAAATCAATATGCAGCTAGGGTTGCCAGGTGTGGATAAAGTGCCATTCTAGTGTCTCTCTCTCTCTCTCTCTCTCTCTCTCTCTCTCTCTCTCTCTCTCTCTTTCTTTCTCTTTCTTTCTCTTTCTTTCTTTCTTTCTCTTTCTCTTTCTTTCTTTCTCTTTCTCTTTCTTTCTCTCTCTCTCTCTCTCTCTCTCTCTCTCTCTCTCTCTCTCTCTCTCTCTCTCTCTCCACATAAACTATACTGACTAACACATCAAATTGGCCACTGGTGTCATTGCCATTTTCAACATATTGTTTAGTATGACATCATATTCCGGACTTCATTCAAATTTAAATAGAAATTTAATTCTAATCTAATTCAAATTTGTATGTACAATTGCTTTTCCAGTGTGAGTGCACATTATTTAAGACATAATTCAAATGCAAAATTTGTTATTGCATTTGCATTTCTTTGCATAATGGCTGTTAAAGTTAACATGGAAAAGCAAAGTATTGTTGACATCGCATTTTCATTGTCTTAATGGTCTAACAAATTAAAAAAAGGAAAAAAACGTTGCCTAAACTTTGGTGTTACAGCAGCATAGTTAGATGCTTGTTTACGATATGGAGCTAGCAATAGCAACCACTGCTATCAACATTTTAACACTCGCTAACCAGGCAGAGGAGAATTCTGTCCAAAGTGATTATTGTATGGAAGTGATTCTTGCTTGTTACGGTTATGAACACCAATGTTAGTGACACTGTGCCTGGATTTCCACAGAGGCTTGCAGGACTGTCTGAAGAACGCTGGTCCTGTTTAAAATTGCCCTGCACGTTTTAGTGTGTACCCTCCTTTAACACACCTGGTACACATAGTTAGCAGTTGTTAATGAGCTGTTGTTTTGTGAGGTAGTAATTCCTGACTGACTAGGAGTGCTTGTGACTGTTACAAGCACCAGTGTTAGTGACATGGTGACCGGTGTTGCTGATTCAGTTCCCCCTCAAATTTGTTGCACCTTCACGAATAAAGCCCTCAGGACTGCCCATTCATTGAGCAGAAATCAGCACCAAACACAGCAACTACAGAAACGAAAAGGTTCAAGAAAGGTGTAAATCTTTGCGTTAATCAGATTAGATTTTTGCTGTCCATTGTCTCATCGCTACGTGAACGTGCGTGTCATCGGCCATGATTTATCAGGGGGAATGTGAATTTGAGAAGGAACTGGATCAGATGCAACATTGGCTTCAGGCAGAGGTTCACAGGACTGTCGGAGGAGCTGGTTAACAGCACCTTACTATTTGTAATGGGTTTGTTAAAGCAGTGAAAGCACTGAAATGTGCAGAGCAGTGTTTCTCTACTGTTTCTCTTCTGCGAGCCTCCGGTCACAGTGTCAGGAACATAGGTGCGTGTAACGCACACAAGCTCTCTTCAAGAATCAGAAATCACTTCCACACAAAAATCACTTAAGGTAGAATTCTTCTTGGCCTTGTTAGCAAGTGTTAAAATGTCAGTAGTGGCGGTTGCTATTGCTGTCTCCGCATCTTAAACAAGCATCTAGCTCTGCTCCACAACTGCCAAAGTTTAGACTCGTCACTTCCTCCTCAGACCCCACACTCAAAAGTCCCTCCCGATGTCCTTTTGATTGACAGCAAACCTTGATGATGGTGAGATGCAGTTGCAAACCGGATTGCAGTAGCATTTTCGTTTTGGCAAAGCTGAAGCGCTGCAATGCAATTTCCGCCACTATGAGGAAATGCAATTGCAAACAGGCATTTGTTATTCTGTTTTCAATATGTCAAACCATTAAGACAAGAAAAATGAAATGTGAAAAGGATTTAGCTTTTCCATATTAACTTTAACAGACATTATACACAGAAATGATAATGCAAGTATGTTTTGTATTTAATTTTATATCATTTTGTACTAGTTTTAAATAATGCACACTCACATTGGAAATGCAGTTGTAAATACACAATTGAATTAGCATTTGCAAATTTGCATCTGAATTTAAATAAAGTCTAGATTAGGCTGCCATGGTTTAGTACATTAGCTAATTTCAATTCAATGTAATAAAAAAAGCACATATTTATCAAACTTTCTTAACACAAAAAAGAGACGAGTTTAAAAAAACAAAACAAAACAAAGCAAAAAAACAGCCACCTCCTACAACAAAGGCTCTCAACTTTTGATGCTGTTGTAATACGACAACCTTATGTGCGACGCAATCAGGTGTTGCGACTTGGTACTAATAGGTTGTCTTTTCTGTTGCCTGGTGGTCCAGTCATTCTTGTGGGTAGTGATATTGCTCTCTCTTTCCCCATAGCTGCTGCAGAAAAACCCAGAGAAAAGACTAGGCGCTGGAGAGCAGGATGCTAATGAAGTGAAAAGACACAGGTTCTTTCAGGTGACCGTTTTCGTTCATTCAAAGCTTCTTTTATAGACTTATTTAAAAATATACCATCATACAATGTCTCTTTCATATTGACTTGTTTTTGTAACTGCACACAGGGAGTGGATTGGGAAGCCCTGTTAGCCAAGCGAATCAAACCTCCATTCCTGCCCACAATCAAAACAGATGCGGACGTGAGTAATTTTGACGAGGAGTTCACACGCCAGAAGCCCGTGCTCAGCCCTCCGCAAACGCCCTTGTTTCTCACAGCCGAGCAGCAGGAGATATTTGCAGACTTTGACTTCTCCTCACTGCACTGACTGCCTGGGACTTGAAGGATAAGCAGTTCTGACATATCGAGGCTCTGTTTCCTATCCTGCTTGTGCTCCCTTTTTTTTAATTCTCTCTGTCTCTCTAACTACCTACCTACCTATGCAGCAAAACCAAGTAAAGTTGGCTCAGTGTTACCCTTTAAACTCTCTTTGTGCTGTCATGCAACTTGAGCTACACCTGAGTTCCTTCCAAAGCCAATACAGACCTGCTCTGAAGAGAGAAAGAAGGTGGAGCAGTGCCTGCAATGACTCGCATATTACCAGAACACTGCTACTCTGTCTCAAGAATAGAGGACCCGTTATCACTGTGAGTAAGCTAAGCTTTTACCTGCCCTGCAGTGCTCCTGATTGGTTGGTTATGTGTAGGTGTGGATGTGTTTAGCCTCTGTCTTGTACTGTTTATTGTCTGCACACTTTTGTAATAGGAAGCCTCCAGTTGCCCCCCCCCAGTTCATGTACATTTGTGCAGCATTGTCAGTGGTCTCCCAGCTTAGTACAACTTTGAAGTAGGCGTGGTGATGTATCATGATACTTCACCATTTACGTGTCATGTTTCATTTTTCTGAGGTTTTAGAAGTTGGACCACTGGGAAAAAAAAAAACGGTACTGGAAAAAACAGTGGTATAAAAAAGAAACTATTGATTCATATTATTGAGCGATTTGCATACTGCGCTGCAGGCCTAACTATGCTCTTTGTAATGAAACATGCAGCTGCTCAGTGGTCCTTAAGTACTGACGATATCTATGATATCGTGACATTTATCCCAATAACACAATTTGCCCAGCCCTACTTTGAGGCATTCTTGCACTGAAACTGAACAGATAAGGATTGTGTGAACAAATAGCGATTGAGATGGTGTCCTTGTCTGGACCTCCACTTTTAAGGATGTACCAACGAATGCAACTCTAAACTGTATATGCACCTTGAAACAATGAGATGGAAGCAACTAAATGATGATGGTGACCAAATGCTTGTTAAAATGGTAGATCGAATGCTTGGAAATTAAGCTCCTAGAAACTCTGGTTTGTCTGTACGCTGTGTACTGTATCTGTGTCAAAGGTCTGTAATTGAATACGTGACCTGGCAGAGCTCGTGGATCAAGACTCGTCTCTCAACTGGCTTTGATCCACATCATTTTCCAAATGAAAGCAGTGCTGGACCTGGTTGCCTTCTTTGATCTGATCCAGAAGCCTTCACTTATTTTAAAAGTAATATCAATGTTAACAAGGTAGAGATGGTCTTGGACCAGGAAGACAACTTACCAGCACTAAAATGACCCCACCCTGCCTGTCTGTCTGTTGTCTGTGCACTAGCTTATTGTGATAGACCTCAAGTTTAAAGGTACAATAGGTATTTTTTTTTATATTCAGTTTGTAACTTTGATGTCTTGAAGCAACTTCCATTTTTAGCAATAGGTAAAAGAAAGAAATGGATCATAGACTGATATGGCCTTTCACCTCTTTGTATCGGTAAATTGCACAGAACATATTCTCATCAACACTCCGTTAAATTTGTTTTATTTAACATTTTACATATTGTACCTTTAAGCCAACTTAGCTAATTCCGTTCTGTCTGATGTTCCAGCATGGTAGATATAGTGCATTTACAATGTATCTACACTATTTTAAAGCAGCTAAAGTGTTGAATGAGAACAACTGTAATATGCTGTAATCTAAACAGGTTCTGTGTTGGTCTGTATTTACATTTGGGTCATTATGAAGAGTTCTGAAGCAATGGTTTACTACTGAAGTTATACTGTGAGTAAAAAAAAACAAACACTAAAGTATTTAAATGAGAAATGTCCTTTATACATGCCAAATGAAGGAAAAAAAAAAATATATATATATATATATATAATGGAAGGGGATGAATGTATTTTCACAAATAAAAAAACAATATGACCATGTTTTGTTCAGTTTATTGAATACTGACATTGCAGGTTAATCCTTTCAGAATCAATACATCATTGCATGTCACTAAAACATTGCATAAATAACTTTTGATCAAAGCGGCAGAAGTCTATTAGAGTTCAGTACAAACACTGAGACATGAAAAAAAAAAAAACGCTGAAGTGCAAAAAGTCAATGGAAGCGATTTTCAGTAATATTAAACAATTATTGCTTATTCTTTTGTGAATATTTTTATATTGCACATAAGACATTCTAATCATTTTATCTAGAAGGGATCACACAGTACAGACTGTATTGCACTCATTTAACAAACATTCCTATAGTACGAAATGAGGTTAAAAAAACAACAGTCAAAATACTCATACATGCACTCAGATTGATTTTTTTTTTTTTTTATTTAGTATTGATATGTAGTATGAAAAGGAAAAGGCCAAGTTTATACAAAACAGGTACTTAGGTTTGTTTATTCTTTTCCCCAATGTTTAGTTTATTGAATCGTTAATACTTTACGATCTTTATATATTTTGTGGGAGTCACTTGACAAAGGGCAATGGAAGTAAAACACTGATGTATAAAATATCCAATCAAAAGAGAGAGTATAAAACCTTTAACTAGCACACTGATAACTACCCTGCTTGGAGGAACTGGTGTCTAAAAAAAAGTACAAAGAAATATCCTGATGCTGTAAAAAGCCGTTGCTTCACACATTAGCAAATTTCTTTTTTCTTTTGGACCCCGTCATTTTATGCTATGTTAAAGTGATTTAGTGCTCTTCACCATCTGTACTTTACAGAAGCCTCTTTGAGGCATTGAGAGACTTTAAAGTCAACCTGATATCCCAACGAACCTTCCTTTTTTTGTTAGCTTGTGCCCATCATAAATAATTCATGATCTTTTAAAGACAAAATTCTCATTTTTTTTTTCTTCTGATTTTTGAAAGTGTCAACATGACAATATTAAGCAAGAATATCACGTCTCACCTCCCTCTTGTACAACCCCCCCCACTTATGATCAAGTGAAAAAACACTTCGTTGGTTCAGAGACCCTCCCTTATATGCCATCCATGGAAGGAAAATGTGTTAGGATTTCCAATTACTAAAGAAGGCAAGCTTATAGAACTGTAGTAGTAATATTAGTAATATTATTACTCTCAATATTTAATCCCTACTGACCTTGTAGCTTAATCCAAGTCCAGGCTTTATCTGTATCTGAAGAAAACAGGCTTAAATATTTAAGTTACAACTGACAGATGTAGAAAAAAAAAACAATTCAGCTTGAACTTTCAGAACTGTTCCTGAATTTATCTATTAGTTAAAATGATCATAATCCTGAACTTTTGTTGCCCATAACATTTAAAATGTGCAAAATAAGCACTGCAACTTGATAAGGGTTTTCTATACATCTGTTCGCAGAAAACATGTAAAAAATTGTCATTACAAACCTCTTCAGGAAATCAGACTTTGTAAAACTGATCATAAAGAACTCTAACAACAATGTCCATGCATTTAAGAATCACTTAAGAAAGAATGGCTCAGTAAAAGGGATGTCACTGCAGTCAAACTGGAATTCCATCAAAGGTGTAACACTTTCACTTACTTGATTGACTTACCACTGAATGTTTAAAATCTGACTGGGGGACACTCATTTAAATGGGATCAGAGTCTTGCCTGAAGTACACCTGCTCCCATACCACTGTCCCCCAAACGCAGAAGAAGCCCCAGAGGTTCCGTAACGCTCCACGGTCGAAGGGGTTCTCGTCTGCGCCGCAGTGTTTGAGGTAGGAGATGCGGTGGCGGGACATGAACTCCCACGTGGTGGTGTTGAGGGACACCAGGTAGAGGTGGGAGCCCAGAAGGAGCAGCACCGTTAGACAGAGAACCGCCACCACGGCAGCCGTAGCCAGCAGCACACCGTTAGCTTTCAGCCACACCTGCCATGTAGGAGCATGACTGAAGCCTGACCTGGACATGGAGATACAGTTCAAATGCAAATGAGAATGAGCACGAGCAAGTGAGGATTGCATTATTTAAGCACACAGACTAAGAAAATATCACACATCATTTTTAACCGTATTTTCCCCAAAAAACTTATACAACAATATACATGTTGACAGACTACATTTGAGGTGGCTAAGGGAAAAATTGTGTACAGTGATCTGCCTCAACATGGCAGCTGTATTACAGAAAGTCTCACCCTTTTGTAAAAGGAGTCGACTGCTTTGTTGGTAAGATTTTACCAGTGATTTTAAATATGTCTTTAAAATCAGTTTCAGGTTTATGATTCTCTGTTCAAAGAGATAGAAGCCTGTGGTGATTTGCATAAAACATCTTAAGTGAATTTTGGCCTTACATTTTTTCCTTTACCTCAAGGGAGCTGCATAAAATCTTTTCATGGAAATGTTTAAGTAAAAAGTGAAAAAAAAAAAAAATTGTAATTTTTGACAATTGCAAATTTCAGTTTACAGGTTTACATTTAACACTTAAGAGGTTAACTTAAGACAAATGCTTCAAATGTTTTATGCAATTATAACTGGAAGTAACTGCCAAGGGGCATTACCATGATGACTTTGGTCAGACTCACCAGGCCATGTGGAGCGCCCATAGCAGGACTATGAGCTGGACAGCCAGGTAAAGGACAAACCAGCGATGGTTCCTCTCCCCAACACAGTTCTCTATCCAGGGGCAGTGATGGTCATATCGACGCACACAATGCTGACAAGTCTGGCAGTGTTTGGATCTCATTGGTTGCTGTGAGGAAAATATACACAGATTCTGTAAAATATCTATAGTCAAACAGTAAATCATTGTGTTGGATATATAACGCATCATAAATGCATGAAACTAATGTGCTTTTGTCCAACACCTGCAACAGGCAATGGCCACAGCGCCGTAGACGGAGTGTCTTGGTCTGGGGGATCATGTCCTGTTGCTCTTCAGTGAGGCCAAGAGTGAACTGAAACATACAATCAATTACAAGTGAATAATTACTTCATAATCATGCAATTACTTCACTAAATTGAAATATCTGCAGTCTGTTCAGCTGCCACACCACAGTGGTAGAGCCACGGTGTCAGGTAACACATCATTGCCTCACCTGCAGGTCACAGTCATCGGAAAGGACAAAACCAGGGTCCATAAGCGACACTGCGAAGTACAGCAGCACAGAGATCAGGACCAGGAGCACGAAGAGAATGGGCACTAGAAGCTCCCCTGTTTCCTCCTGCTTCCGGAGATCTGTGGTGAAAAAGGGAACGCTGAATGTCTGATCCACCAACATCAATTGCTCTAGTAACAAACAGCCAAGACAAACCTCAGTATTTCTACAAGAAATGGACTTGTCATGGACTTAATTATTTCATCTGCTGGTTACATTTGTTTTCCTTTAATTTAATACACACTATATGTCCAAGAGTACATAAACACCTCTTCTAATATTTGAAAGTGCACCCATTGCTGACACAGGTGCTCAGTTGCGCAAACACATCATATATAATCTCCTCAGAAAAGCACGATCAATAGAAAAGGATGCTTTGGAGCAGCTGTGCATGAGCTTTAGGTCACCATGTCCAAAGCCAAGTGTCAGTCAGAGGGACATAAAGCCCCCCGCACTGGGTTGTACAGCAGTGGAACTGCTAACTCATGCTCTCTATATGATTAAGCTCCATTCAATATGTTTCAGATGAGTTGGGGTGCCATTTAAGATCCAGCACTAATCATCCAACATCAGTATCTGACCTCACTAATGCTCTTGTGGTTGAATGCAATCAAATCAAATCCTCACAGCAAAGTTCCAACATCTAGTGTAAAGCCTTCCCTGCAGAGTAGAGGATGTTACTGCAGCAAAGGAGGACCAACTCTCTATGAATAACCTTGATTTCAGAAGACATGTTGGATGAGCACGTGTATACAAGACACAGGGAGTCGACTCCCTGGACAGGCCTCGTCCTGGAATACAAAGTATTCTGAAACTAGATTCTCCATTAAAAGGAAAAAACACCCAGGACTAGGCTTAATCCCTGTCCAGGAAACTAACCCATAGTGTATTTCTACAAAGTGGTGCTGGATGCCTGATTAAACTACAGTAAAAGTGATTAAAAGTGAACAGCTTGAAGTGAGGTCAGGATTAACACTGGTACTGGGTTGACTTATTTGCTCTACGTAATGGCAGTATTATAATCATTCATATTCTGACAGGATAGCTAATGCTGCTTCAGTATGACTTTAAATGGGTTAGACAATAATACTGAGTATTCATTTCACTGGAGTCCGAAAGTGCAGAGACGCTGGATGATATATCTTCTACACTGGTGTACTATAATACTGCCTTTCAGTTTAACAGCATTTTTACCAATATATTTCATTAGACACATTGTCTATGTCCACAATTAAAAAACCCTAAAAAAAGGCTCCCATTGTCAAGCAATTTCTTTTTAGCTTCTTAACTATATTTTGCACACTTTATGATATCAGGACCTGACAGTTAACTTGTAAACCTGAGTGCTTCAAAATATCTAAAAAGAATAGTTCAAAATAAACAAAAACTAAAACAGTTTTGTTTTCTAACTGGTTAACATTTACAGTACTGTGTAAGGTTCCCTTTTGTGTTATTTTAAGAGAAGAAAACAGCCCAGGCAAGACAAGCTATGTCAGGTTTGTAAGAGATTCTGTTAGCAAAGCAGAGTAGCACTCAAAAAGCATGCAGTCTTCAGTTTTATTAATGCAAACTTGAATATCATCTGATACTGTGATACTACAGTATATCTCAATGACTCCCAGCACTGCGAGAAGTTTTTGTCAGTCTGCTGGATATTTTTATTCTCATTATTATTATGGGGTATTTAGTGTGGGGAATGAAAGCATCTCCCACTATCAACATGTAGGTTGGTAAACTGCTGTCTTGCTTCTTTCTCTCTGGATGAACACAGAAACAAATCTAAGTACACCACTAAAAGGACCCCTAACATCTCTCTGAGAGAGGCTCCAGTCTAAGGACCATTAAAAAAATGCCAGAATTTATTACAAAAGACAATAAATACTACATAAACTTAGAGACATTCTGCCGAGATGTTTGTATGATTGTCGAAACACACAAATGACAAAGTCATTCATTTTGATGTAAAGTAGATCTCCGGAGTTTTTATATGTAATGCAGACGATGGTAAAATATAAGTAACACTGTTTTGCCTCACAATGCCCTGAATGTGTTTCTGCAGGCTTGTCTCAAAACTGTCACAGAATAATTACTGATTTTTAAATGGCTCCCATACAGTTCCCTATGTTAGTCCTGAAATTCTGCGTTCTACACCCAACTAGTGCATTATTTGTCCAGTACGGAGTTGTGCACATGTGGCTGAATCCCAAATGGCTGGTTGTTCGATATTATGCACTGTCTGGGTACACGTGCCACTATTTTAATTCCCAAGTAGTGCACTTCATAGGGAGTAGGGAGCCATTTGAGATAAGTCAGTGTCACAGGTATCAGGCGGGGAAAAAAGCATCTCCAATATAGTACGGAGCCCTTAAGGCCAAAAAAAAAATGGCATTGCGTTCCCTTCGCAATATTTTTGCATTGCACCATGACTTTGTTTACATCTTGACCATCTCATTAGGAAAAACTTGTTAAAAATCACATTTAAGCCTATCGCTCAGTATTAGCAGCATCAATAACGCTGGTTACATTCTTCACATTCGTGTTCATGAACGGTTTAAGCTCGTAATGTTCACTGAGGAGCTCAACATTTTGAGACACACTGGGTGATATAAACAGATGTGAACAGATACTCACCGGTGTCGTGCAGGAAGAGGATGAGCGTTATAACCCATGTCAGGATAACATGAGCGGTTCTTACGAGAAATCCTGAACCGAACACATTTTTGAACATCCTAGCATGCTTAAATATGAGTTTACACACCTAAGCATGCGTTATCTGCCTAACCCGCAGGTAAATACATATCTCTCTGCAGGTGAAGCTGTTAATCTGTTGTTTCTTAGCGTTGACTCGACGGTAATCTAACAGCCGTTAATTAACGGGGACTCCGCGCTGGATGGCTGGCTGGCTAACGTTAGCAGCTAGTACACTCCAGCTTTGGGCACATAGCTGGATTTAAGCCCTTGTTTTTAGTAGAAAGCCGAAGATTCGCTCCTAGGAGGCTATCGAGACTGATAATCAGGTTACCTTTATATACAAGAGAGCTGTGGTCAAATGGAAATGCATTGCTGGGCGTTTTTTTATCGTCGAGTTTCTCCGTTTTAACCGTTTTCTCGCTCTAATAAGCTTGTTGACGTTCCGCTCCGCTCCTCCGCTGTCAAAACGGACGCTCTCTATTGGCCGACGTTTGTCACGTGACCGCACAGTTACTAACATGTGAAGGAGAATTCCACCAAGTTTTCAAACTTTGACAAATTCAGTCATTGAGATGTAAACAATCATTTAGAGTGGTTTCATTTGTAGAGGAACTTTTTTCTTTACAGTGGTGGTGATAGGAACGAGGGGTCACAATGTCTACAACACAACACAGTCATTTTATTTACTATCCAAAACGACCAGTGAACCTACACACATCTCCTGATTTTCATATGTAATGTTGATGACGGTATATAAATAGTAATATAAATAGTAAATAAATCTGGAAAAATAAGTTTTCTTTGGGGACTATTTTTCCTTACAAGCCCTGTATGTACCCCTCTGCCATAAATGGATTACAATTAATGGATTAAAATGCATTTTAAGCCAAAATGTAATCACAAAACAATCATAAAATAATGTGTCAGACATCAGGCAGCATATATCTAACTATTTCTTGTAATAACTTTCTGTAAGGGAGCTTTTAGAGGTGGATGTCTGGTTCCTATCAATTCTGACTCTGTATGTTTCTCTAGAGCAGAGCATTTCACACCAAACCACTCTAAATGACTGTTTACATCGCAACCATTTAATTATGGAGAATTTTTGAAAAATTGGTGGCGTACCCCTTTGAAACTTAGAACATGAATTTTGATGAAAAAAAAATCCCAATGTCTCAAATAGAGATACTTAAAAATTCACCACACCATCAAAGCCATTTAAAGTGATATGCATGATACATAATTTATTGAAGTCTTGGGATTGTTGTGCCCTTTATAAAATTAAAAGATCCCATTTCACTGATGGGCATAAACCGTAATTGGACACTTCATTGTTCTACTACAATTCTACAATGGATTACATTACAAAATATAGCCTTTTTGAAGGCAATGTTTCGGTTCCCTTATTCCAAACACACTGAATGAGACCTGTTTAGACTAAGAATTTGGAAGAAGACTCATTATTCTCATTATTCTCATGAAGAAGAAAAGGGGATTTCAAGTTCTTCTGTTTCAGCACTTCATCCAAACCCTGCAAAACAAGTGAGAGACAGAAAGGAAGGATGAGAGGGTGAGAGTGACACAGCTGTCTCTCGAACCCTCCCCTGGGTTCAGTTATTATCTGCATCAATTCATTTCATGCTCAGTACATTCACATTTGTGGCCTCAGCTTTTGACCTGATTTTCTACCCTAAACCGTAAACATACAAATATTTATCTAAAAATTATACATGATAAATTAAATCATTTAAAGGGGCTTGATCACAGAAAACCAAAGTTTTGTAGCTTTTTCAAAATAAAAAGTGTTTGTTTTCAAAACATACCATTCAGTTCTCAGTCCATAAAGGGAAACTAAGCTGCAAAAACAGCTCCTTTTGTATTTACTGTTTTTGTGATGTCACAAAAACCAACACATTTATATATATCCCCTTATTCAGCGTACAGTAGTTTAACCCCACACATTCAAGTGATATAACAGGGATGCACAACTTCGGTCCTTGAGGGCCAGCGTCCAGCAGAATTTGGTGAATTATCTGCTCAAACGCACCAGATTACACTCATCTGTTAATTACCAGGTTTAGTGAGTGTGTCTGAGTAGAGCAACCACTTTGCTTTCACAATTTTACACATTTTTTTTCAAAACAGTTAACACAGATCTCACAGAAAATCACAATACTCTCAGAGTTGTTGTATTTACTATCAGCACTTGTGTGAACTAAGTAATGTCAACTGAGCAGTCAGCTGAGATAGACAGATAATATATAATATGTAAAGCTGATTTACACAACGGCAGACTTACTTATTGAGAAGATTTAGCCAATGGATGGTGCTAGAGATACAACAACCATGCATTCTGATGCAATTTTCTGCACCTCCCTCATAAAAAAAGAATGTACAAGGGATGCTATAGTACATTAATGTAAATTTGGGTTGGACCCTTCTTCCACCTTCTGTCATAGAATAGCCATGAGTGATGGCATGGTCCTGAAGTTTCTCAGAGTATCAGCGCTGATCTATGAACTGTTACTGAATGTAAAGTAAATAAGAGAGGACTCTGATCCTAGTTCAGCACTCACGGTCTACAATAAGCCCCTCCAATGAAAAAAACATATACTAACCTTTCCACCCTTTTTAAATTATCAGTTATTTTGTTTTCCATTTTATTTTGTACAACCTTTTACATTAAATTATTTTAAATACATGGCATCAAACAATGCCATACCATACCTTCACTGTAAGGGCTCAAATGTTGCCAAATGTCACTGGAAATTTCAGTTCAGTATGATATGTATGCTGGGGCCTTTGGTTTGATCTCCTCCAACCTAGTATATCCCTCTACTGACAAATACATAAACCCAGATGAATGGCATGATTTGGGACAATGTTGCCTTCTACCAGCAAAAAGCAGAGAAATTGTTTGAATATTTCTGAATAACTTTGAGTTAAATATTTTGCTTGTTTGCTGAGCATATGAATTACATTGTACTAAAATGTATCTTTGGTAAAAATAAATTCTTTAAAAAAGCCTGAGAAGAACCTCGAAATGCTATTGAACCTTTTGAACCTTTCACTGAATGGTATGGAATTGGTATAGAGCCTTTTACACTGGGTAAGGATTCTTTAAACCTTTAAATGGTTCTTCACACTCACACATCTCATTAACAAAATTTGCTCTTTAAGGAAACAACAGTGGCTCTTCTCCCTTTGTGGCACCTTTATTTTTAAGACTATACCTAAGAGATAAGAACAGATCTCACTTTGCCACATTCTAGAATTATTTACCATTAAAGTTTCTGCAGAAAGTACATCATAAACATGCAGCACTAATGAAGCCTGAATAGATTCAAACTAAAATCTGTTGTTTTTTTTTTGGTTGTTGTTTAGTGACGGACTGAAAGACTAAACTCACCTGATGTAAGTTGCAGTGTTTGATGGTAAATGTTGCTTTTGTGGTGTGTGCTTAGTGTTTTATTGCGATTTGTGGGGGCCATTAAGCAAAGAAAGTGCATTGTTTCAGCCAGCGAGTCTCAGCTTAGTGTCATGCGTTAACTTTTGAGAATATAACTTCTGAACAAACAAAGGTCTTCAAGCAGCTGAGAAACACTGTAATATAACTGCTGCTAGGTCTGATCTGAAAAGATTTTTTTTATCTACATGAACAGAAACATTTGTTTTAGGTGCAAAATAAATATATATTGTATAATTAAATTAAGCTATAGACCAGTCGTCTCCAACCCAAATTTAAAATAACTTCTTCAGCTAATCAAGGAGGTATTTGAAGACAATAATTAGATGGATGAGGTGAGGTCTATAAGGGTTGGAGCTGAAGCTGAAGGAAAGTAGATCTCAAGGAACAGAGCTGGTGACCACTGTTACAGACTATCCAGTGACAGCACCCAACATGTATCACCCCAAAATAAACAGAATTAAGATTTGATAGGGAGATGCTCTGTTAGAAACCTGTTATATAGAGTTTAACAGACTAGTGGCTCACAGATGTCTTACCTCTCCAAAATAAGACACAAGTGGAGAGATTTCACAGATTGCTGGAGGATCCTCATCCTGAGCTGTCCTGCAAATTGATTGAATACAATCAGTCAGTAAGTACTGAGAATTCAATTAAAACTGTAAGAAAATTAAGATTCAAGTGGTTTTTCTATACAAAAATCCACTGTTCCTAACACGGTTGGATATATTTAACTTCAAAACTAATAACTGAGGAGATTTCCAGAGAAGCTTGCACATGTCTGGGTGTGAACTTCACTGAATGGCTTGCAAAGGTTAAAGTGAAATGGAATAAACACAAAACATGGTAACCTTTAATAAATCTACCGTACGAAGCCACAATCACATAGCCTAATCACTGCCTCACACGTCTAAACAAAATTTCTTTCCAAACTTTGAAATCTAATACTAAGAATCAAGGTAAAAAGAAATAAACTGGCTCTTTCTTACAGTGATGCATACAAACTGAGCTGAAGACTGATAAATTTTACCTGGACAGTATCCGGACATGAAACGCATGAAAGCACAAGTGTAAATTTAACCAACCATAAGAATTAAAAGATATTCAGAACAGATATATAGCACTGTCGTTTCTAATGATTTGTCTCTACAAAGAAAGATCAGAGATCAGAGAGGCATCAAGCCTCACTCCTCACTCAAAGCCAAGAAAACCAAACTAAGCTCTTTTATTTTGGACATATTATGGAAAGAACCAATTAATTGGAAAAGACAGTTGTGCTTGAAACAGCTGACAGTAAGAGGAAGAGGACGGCCAGTAACAAGATGGATGAAGACAATCAGAGATATCTTGAACAAGCCATTAAGAAGCCTAAAGACTCAGGACATTCAGACTTTGTGTCGGTTAAGGTTCGAATAATGGAGGCTTCAGATGAGCTAATGAACACTAACACTAGAGCTAACCGATGCAGTGGTAGATAATGATAATTTGTCTCCATTAGCTTGCCAAGATTACTGACAAAAGAGAAATATATTTTCATTGTTTTTGTTTCTAGCTAACATCAGATAGAGTAGTTAGGCTCGTTATGGCTGCATTATCTCTGCCTTCTAAATCAGAAGTATAACAGAATATGAGCAAAACTGTCACATTACAGCTTGTATATTTTCTTTATGACTTTCTCTGATACATCATGATGAATACTCAAATAGTGATTTTAGTATCTGAATACTTGCACCTGGAATGGTTAATCCATCTGCATCCCTACTCAGCACAGACTTCTTTTCCCAGCTTTCAACAGAATTCGGTTACCTTTTCACTGTTAATCCAAATGACTCATACCTGCAGTGCTAAGCTAAGGCACTGGTGCGATTCTGATTCATTGATTCATTAATTATAAGCTCCTCTGAGCGAAGGATGTAAGCAGAAGCAATATTGGGCATTGGCACCTGATTTTTGGTGTGATGGGATTCCCATGCTCATCCAGGAAGTTGGCTCCAGCTTGCACAGCCCAGCGGTAGTGCTGAGCCAACAGGGAGCGCCTCACTGTGGTCGGTGTATCAACAGGTGCTCCATCTGCATTTTTAAGGGGTGAGAACTCCTCCTCTCTCAAAACCTCAAAGGCAACAAACTTCCTGTAAAAAGAAGTGTTCTGTCAAATCACATCTGAATACATCTAAGACAGAACTAGTGTCCTAGAACACTGCAGTCCAGCACAGTGTTGTGATTTTTCAAAGAAACCTTGTAATTAAATCAGTTGAATCAGGTGTTTTTGAACTGGAAAAGCAACAAACTGTGCTGGATTGCAACACTACAGGACCAGAGTTTGAGTCTTCCTAATATAAAATAAGAAATATCAGCATGGGTGATGGGTGCGATATTCACTTTGAGAACTGAAAAACATCAAAGACGAATTTCTCCATTTTGATTCCATTTGGTTTAGTGGGTTTCACAAGGCTGCCATCCTCATCCACAAATGGCACTTTCTTGATGGCCACATGCTGCTTTAGTTGTCCCTGAAACTTTCTAAAGAAATAGGAAGACAAAATGTGATTATGTTTGAATTCAGTGTCAATTTTTTTTCTGTTTCTATAGCCTACCTTACACTTTTTCATTCTGTATTTGTCAATAACTAGGGTTAGCATAGTTAAATCTGAATGTAGCCTACACAATCTGTGTAATGCATGTGCATTAGTGAGATCCTGCAATTTTTTTTCATTCTCTCAGCAGGACTGCCTAAAAGTATCTTTATAAAGTCTCTAGCTGTGTATGACCAATAGTGAGAGAAATGCAAGACCTATGTAAAATCTGATTATGTCATGCTGTGAATACACTGAGAATCTTTCAAGAGATAATTGTGATGCATCTAAGAATAGATTATTTTTTTCCACCCCTAAACACAAACGGCATGGGGGTCATGCTAAGACTGTACCAAAATGATAACGTGCTTAATAAGTGAAAAATATATTTAAAAAAAAATTAGGATTGTACAAGATCAGTCAGAATACCTCTATCGGCCCTCTGTGAAAAAATGTCCACTATATAATCTGTAGAGGAAGAAAAATCCATGCTTTTTTGCTCACTACAGTTGCTGAATATTCTGTTATAAATCGGTTATGAATTAAAGATTTATCAAATTAATTTGCAAGTCATGCAGTTACTAAAGTGAGGAATATACATATATAGTGTGTCATTCTTCTGCTGTGTAAGTAAAGAATGGATACAAACAGCTAAATGTACTGTAAGTACATGTGCCACTCACTGAGCAACCTCTCGCAGGAAGTCTCTGGTGAAGAAGTGATTGCAGATGTTTCCAGCGCTGTACACCAGCTCTCCTCCAGGGTGGCGCTGTTCTGCTGTTTCTGGCTTCAACTCACTGTACTCCACCACTTGATAAATCCCATCTACACGGCACACGACTCCTACAGGCTCAGCTGGATACGCTTTCTCTACTACCTAAAATAAAGGGAGAGAAGAGCCATAGAATTCAGTGTGTTTTGCAAACCAAAAACTTAAAGGTTGTGTACTAATTTGTATACAAATGTATAGACAAAATTCAGAGAAAAATGTGGAAATATGATTCTTCAGCAAAACGTTCCTATAAATATACCTAAACATTCATTCAATGTTCTGGGATGCGTTGACTCAAATAAAATTTCAGAATGCATAACACTGGACTGGAGCTACAGCAGATACTCATAAACATGCAAACACCTCCCAGACCCACCAATATAAGAAGTAAAATAAAGGCAAAAGTAAAAACTTAAGCTTGTATTATTTTGTATTTAAGCATACCTTAGCACCACAGTCTGCTCCTTTTGACACACAGAAACCAATGAAGACCGGGTCAGCCAGTCTAACCAGGATGTTGTCTACACAGTAGACATGAACATACTGCACTCCCCTTCTCTCCATGTCCTCCAGAACGTTGTTGTCCACAAGGGCACGATAAAGGCCTCCGTTGCCATCTGTGAATGACCGAAACACACACATACACAGAAAAGACTAAAGGAAGGCAGGGGAACTGCTTAGACATCAAACAGCATTATGAAGTTTATGTCGATGACGATTCCTTCTGCCTTTTTAGGTGTTTAACTCTCAATGAAAACAGTTCATACCTGGTGCCATGGCTATCTTATTCTTCTTTTCCAAGATGATTTTTCCATCAAAACTGACGGCTGGGATCATCCTCTGCTCAAACATGATGACATCGGATGGCTCCAGGCCAAAGTAGCCATTCTCTTTGAAGAACTTCTCTGTGGGCTCCAGGGTGAACTCACTGGTCATTATATACCTGTATGAACACAAAACAGTTATACAGGCTTGTCCCATATAATACAACTGTTTTGATTCTACTAATACATTCAGACAAGGTTAATTAGACATTTAAAGAGTTTGAACTAAGTCTACACAATATATTGTTTGTTAATCACAATTGCAATATGCACATAAGTGCTCTGCCCAGAACCATTTCTTGCTACAAGCTACATAAGTAGTCATTTCGGGGCCCCTGAGCCAGCAGAGGAGCAGCCCTGTGAGCACTTACTATTTATTTATAATATAATTTAGCTTATTTTATTTCCATGAACAATTTATACTGTATTTGTCCTGTGTCTAGTTATTTACTATGTCTTAGCGTTTAATAAACTCTCTTTTTCATTTTTGCATACACAATAAGGTGTTTAGGGTGGGTGAAATGTCGCTTAGGGCCCTCCATTGTTCAGAAATTCTCGTACATCCAAAGATAATGGATAATGTTGATGAGGTGTAAGAAACTCACCAGGGAACTGTGCATTTGGAACCGTTTTTCTCACTTGCAAGCTCTTGCACCTTCCGAATCCTCTCTGCCTGGATCTGATACAGGGTTTTGCCACTTGGTAGACCCACATTATACATTCCTTTGGGATAGGGAACTCCAAGACGGGTTCCCTGACCACCAGCTAACAATAGGACTGCCACTCTGTTCTCTGCTATCTGCAAAAAACCTGAAAAAACATTGCAAGCATAAACAATTAATCTTTCAGTTCTTTAATACTGGTAAGAGGGATGATCCAGACACAGTTCATTACATAAAACATCACACAAAAATATCTTTATTTATCTCTATTTTTTTAGGTTTAATACTTATGTTTTTTGGATGCATAGCAGAAAACACTAAAGAATCTAAGTTTTTTTGAATACTAATGATGCCTGAACACCTCATTTTACGTAACAGGACTCAAAGACTGTTTTTCTTCCCTATTTTTTTTTCCAAAATTTCTGCATTATTAAAATGTTAAGATTTAACAAAGTAATTCAGAGTGACTGGATGTAAAATGTACCTTTGTAAAGACTTTAACAACTGTTTTAACCATTTTTCACAGTGGTGGTGATAGGAACCAGATGTCTGAAGCATTCAATTGGCTCTAAAAGCTACATATAAAGGTATAATAAGAAATAGTGAATGAATTCTCTGTCTAACGTATAAGACACTGCTTTATGAAAGGTTTAAAATCAGGTTATAGCCTTTTTTTAATCCATTCAGGGCATTTAGGGGCGGGCAACATGACAATATTTTATCGTTATTGTTAAAAATTATGTCACTATATGCTTTTCTAAACATATTGTGGATATCGGCAGTACTTAAAGAACACTGACTGTTTCATTACAACATGAGCATAATTAGGCCTGTTTGATTTAGTGCAGTGCAGTTTGTGAATGATTGAAAGAAAATTATTGTTGTCGGTTTATTATTATTGTATTTTTATATGTGGCTCCACAGGTTCTATTTTGTCTATTTCAACTTATTAAATCTTAGAAAAACTAAACATCAATTTATAAACTAAATATCATGATGCATATCCCATATCATGAAAATGTCCTTAAGTATTATGATGTAATATGTTTGCCATATCACCATGCAAAGCGCTGTCAAGCAGTCAAGTAGACTTTATCGACATGCCTTAACATAACTTGCATACACTGCAATGACATGTAAGACAAAATACACCCCAAAGAAAACTTATTTTACCAATTTTATCTACTGCATACAAAACCCACTAGCTCGCTGGTCGTTTTGGATAGTAAATTTGCATTGTAGACACTGTGACCCCTGGTTCTTATCACCACCACTGTAAAGAAATCTGAGTTTCTGAGTTTCTCTACAATGAACCATTTCACATCAAAACACTCTGAACGAATTTTCCTACGTCAATGACTGAAGTGTGCAGAAAGTTTTAAACAATCAGTGTAATTTCCCTTTAAATGAAGGTCAGCTGAGAGCCTACCCTCATCCTCCCACTGCTTCAGTGTCTCCTTGTCACTTTTACAGACACTGCCAATGAATTCCGGAGCAACGGGCTCCATGTGGGTGTCCAGCCGCTCTTCCTCGCCTGAAGCCCGGCTTGCAGCCTCGGCAGCAGCCCGGCAGTGCTGGCTGAGCTCCTCGGGGTCCAGTTGAGACAGTTCATCTAGAAAAACATCCTTCTCTTCCGCTGAAAGTTCAGACCAGAACCGCAGGACGTGGGGCTGACCAGCAGCCTGCAGTCTAGCAGTAGCTTCTTCAAACGATAACATTGTTCGCTGTGTGGAAATGTCTACTGTGCCTCACCTGACTCGAGGGTTTGTTAACTTATCGTCTCTTCACGCCTAAAACTCGTGACTTGCGACGTGTTCGGGAAAAAAAGGGAATCAAGTAAACACGAGGCTAAAGTTGGCTTCCTATTCGCCAGCTTCTTGTTTGAATTTTGCCGTTCCACCTTAAATGGTGCAACAGTTACATTCTGGCGCCTGAGGTGTCAAAATGTAACTGCGGCACCACTTAAGGTGGAACGGGAAAATTCGAACAAGAAGCTCGCTTCAGCAAACATTGTGAGAAGTGAAATGGTGGAGAAGTGAACGGCTGGCAAATTATCAGCTGACCTTGTGTTTGTGAAACTCCTGTTCTGCCATTATAACCGCTATTCGTCATTATCTTTTTTTTTCGAGACTCGTTTGTAAAACATCTGGTAAATTCAGCAGCTAGTCGCCGCTACTCAGCAGATTCAGTTTTCTCCAGAGGCGTTAACTTCCTGCCTGCCGTCATGTGATGATTCCTGTACTGCTCTCCTTATTCCCTCCTCACTCTGGAAACTTGTTGCCCAAAAAACACAGGTAGAAATATCGCTTTTGGGCGCCTTTTCAGCGTCCAAATCTGGACTGAGGTCAGTCTGGGGTAGTTTAAGGTTTCCGTTTAACGAGCCATGTTTACACACTGACAAACACGCTAACAGATTCTCAGTGTTCAGTGTGGTCGAGATGTACAATCTTAAAAAAGATGGTTCCTTAAAGGGTTCTTTAGTAAAGAAAATGGTTCTTAATAGAAACATGAACACTCAGAGAACCGCTTGAATGAATAAAATGGTTCTCTGCATCATGAAAGGGTTCTTCAGATTGATGGAGTGTGTGCTATACGTTTTATATAGAACGTTTTTGAGAAGGGTTCTTCTATTGCTGGGATGTCAAGCTTGTAACACAAACAAACAAAAAAAAACATTTTGGGTGCTTTATAGAACCCTTTTCACAAAGGTAAAGAAAAGGGTTCTATATAGAACCATGAATACTCAGAACCTTTTACATGAACAAAAGGGTTCTTTGCATCATGAAAAGTTTCTTCAGATTGATGGAGAATGTGCTGTAGATGGTTCTATATAGAACTTTTTTTGAAAAGGGTTCTATATAGCACCAAAAAGGTTCCTCTACTGTTAGGATGTAAAGCTTGTAACAATAGGATAACCCTTTTTCCCAAAGGTTCTATGTAGAGCCATCTGTAGCACATTTATACACATTTTCCATCAATCTGAAGAACCCTTTTTAATGATGCAAAGAACCCTTCTTTGAGTGCTCATGGTTTTATACAGAACCATATTCTTTAGAATGGCTAAAGAACCCTTAAGGAACCATCTTTTAAGAGTGCATTGGCTTTTATCAAAAAAAGGAATTTTCATGTCTGAAATAAATGTATTGTAATAAAAACAATAAATATAATAATTATTATTGTTGTTGTTGTTATTAAACCTGTAACTTAACCCGAAAGGTCATTAAGAATAAGTTATTCAGTCTTCTGGAGATTTTTCTAAGAAAATTAGATGTAATATAATCCACATGCATAAAGAAGTAAGTTAAAGGGGTAAGTCAAAGGAAAGTAATTGAAAGCACGTGTTTCTAAAAACTGGAGTTATTACTAAAAGATATCGAGCAAACGGGACCCCTAATAACCATGCAAGACCAGGCAGACCACCAAAACTGTCCCCATTGGATAAACAGTACTTGAAGCTTTCATCTTTGAAAGAGAGGAAAAAATCAAGGTCCACTTTTACTTCAGATCTGAAAAAATCCACATTTCCATCCATTCTTCCTCTGTGAGAGCCCAACTCAATGCTATGGGCCCGAAAGGGTGTGTAGCTGTCAAGAGACCCTGAGAAAAGAACCTAGACAAAAAAAGAAAATTTCTATATCAGATAAAGAAGCTGGTTTTCTCAGAACAACAGACTGACCACCCCAGAGTCCAGACCTCAACATCATTGAATGCATTTGGGATTACTTGGATTGTGAGAAGCAGAAAGTGCTACCAACTTCTAAGACTGAACTTTGGAGGTGTGGAAAAATATTCCTAATTTCTGAGAAAAACTGAAAGTCTCCCAAAAAAACAAGCTGTAATAAAGGCAAATCGAGAACACTCGATACTGAAAAATGTGATATATTTAGATTTTGTGACTTGTGTGTCATTTTCTGTTAAAAAGAAAAATCAAAATTATTGAAAGTTTGTACTACAACAACCCAAGCCCCCTTTTTTACCGTAGGTATAATCCATGTCTTGGGAACTAGGCCTGAATTGTATAATCCATATCCAAATATATGATGTGTTCATGCTTTGCAAAAAACATGTATGTAGTAGTCAGCTATATTGAGATTAGGGTAAATTGTGGTTCAAAAAAGCGTTTCCCTCACTCTCTGCTTGTTTTCTCTCACTAATTTACACTTTGCAAAAAAAAAAAGACTGGAAGCATCTGCAACAGCAGCTCATTTTAAAACTGAATAACACACTTCATGGTTATAGACATTTATCAATCCAGACGCACTTGTGTTTGACAGAGCTGGACATGTGTTCATATATATTTGAAATAGCATTAGGCAAACAATACAGTAATTCTTGCTAAGCAGGTTTTGCCCGTGTTCATATTTAAACAGCAAGAGGCAAGTGAAATAAGAATCTCTTTATTGAACATTATTCCCATACAAACATAAATATACTTCCACTACATTCACACATTAGGCATTCTATCAGGGACAACACTCAGACTCTGTGCAGCACACATTTTTGCATTGATTATTACATTTCAGCATAAAACTCAGATGTGTCATTTTTTTCAGCCTTACTCCATATAAAGATATGTCTTGCAGTACAAATATTTGAATATTCTCTCTGGACATTTCTGATTTCAAGCCTGTGTTAGTCCAGCAGCCAAATCCCTCCATATCACACATCCATGGGACCTATTACTGGAATTGTAAACAGTAATTAAATCACATCTTACCAGGTATTTTCCACTTTGACTTTGACTACTGCCATGCACCAGTCATTTTAGCAAGTGATCACATGTTGAACAGTACATATTAATATATATGTGGCAAAACACCACTATTTCGGTTCTGCAAAAGCAGTTACATACAAAGGCCTGACAGTGGCTGCTGAAAAGTAAGGCGCTAAATATCAGGCAGCATGGCGAGGATTAGGGGGTCATTGTTGCTTCTTGTTACAAAGACAAGCTTCAAGCCTGGGCCAGTACTCATGAAATAACAAAGTATTATAGTTATATATATGTTTCCAGCTGAATGTGCCTTTTAAGCACACAAGGAACAGGAGCCACATACTTAAGATCAGTCTGACCCCAGGATTAAACTAATGAAGACCCATTTTTATTACGCAAGCCCTAAAAGGCCAAGAAGTTGCATGTTTTTCTGTGGTAACAAGTTCTGACAGTCATATCATTATCACGACATTACATTGTTTTGCTGAGGTAACATTCGTTGTGTTGTGATAATGGCATAAACATCAAGAAAACAGGTCATGATGACATATTTATATCAAGATCTTAAGAAAACCAATGAAAATAAAGGAGTTAAAAAAAAAACATTAATTCCTGGCCTTTTAGGGATTCCGTATCTTATGGGAATTAAGCGAATGACTAGCATACAAGTGAACTGGGCCATAGAGATTTCATTAGAGGGGGTAAAAGTGCAAAATGCATTAGGAAAAAACTTTACTAAATGAGCAGCCTCCACTTCGAGGCAAAGCCCTCAGCTGGTTAAAGCCCTGCATATATAATATTTTATAGTATCATTCGTGCACATTTATACATCACCCACACATACACATGCATGCATTAGAATAGTAACAGCAAGGCTAATAGAAAATGCAGCTCAAGGTAAGACCACCGAGAGAGGATTATGTAGAACTTGCCCTTTGCTAATATTTGACCAGATTGCAGTGTAATTTTTTTTAGTTATAGAAACAGTCCAATGTTTTTCAACCTAATCTGTCTGCTGCATCAGTAGCATACAATCCAAGTACATGTCCTCGTCCACAGAAAACCAACTGAAAACCGACTTGGAAGGGAAGCACCTGCCCATTGGCTTTTACTGTAAGTCTGTTTCAAATCTACTTTTTTCTCTGTTCTGCATGATAAGTATGCTACAGATGTGGCAGATAGAGCTCAAGTTGAAAAAGTATTCAGGCAGTTACCCAGCCTGTTCCCAAGGTTCTGCTTTCAAGCCAAATCTAACAAAACATCTGATTCAGCTAAACAAAATATTCTGAAGGCACCTATGAAACCCTGGAACTCTATTAAAAGCCAATTCCTCAGGAGAAAGATTGAAGACCTCTTTAGGTTTACACGTTGATTACTGATCATTTGGAAGCTGGTTTTAGATCAGATCAACAAAAGCTTTACATGTAACAGAAAGAGAAGAAATAATGAAGATTGAATGTGGGATGAGATTCTGCTTTACATATGTTGCACTCCAAAGGACCATGAGCTTTCATGTCCTGCAGTGAGTCTAATATATACTACATAATTTTGAACTCAGGTAGTCTTCTCTGGTATAATAATGGAGACTGTCCAGGTTTGCTGGAGTTCTCCCTGAGAATACTGATGTAAGACGAAAAACAAACAAACTCCCTCACAATTCCATAGCAGCAAAAAAAGCAAGCACATAAAACTACTATCAAATGACATCCGTTCAGTCATAGGACATAACATACCTCGTTATAGTATACCCTACACTGCAGTGACACAGCTTAACTTTGATACAAGACTGCAGTAGGTTTAGGAAAAGCTTACTGGAGATTTCATGACATGCACCCCAACACATTTCAAACGGTCTGGCTAACAGGTCTTACGTCAAAAGGCCTACAAATTTTTTACCACAATCTTTATCCACACGTGGGCCAACAGTCCAAAACAAAACATATTTATATACTAGGGACGTAACAATATAACATCAAACTGCATCACCGCATCTCACGTTGTATTATTGTATTGTGACTTTTTATCTAATAGAGCAAGTTGGCTGGTAGCTAGTGTGATAGCTTAGGGCGTACGTTATCTTGTGGCTAGAGTGTTAGACTGAGACACTAAAGCTCAGTGTTTGTTTCAAATATTGTACTTCTATAAATGTTACATGCTCTAATGAAGTGAGAACATAAACATCAGCATTGCATAAGTGGCAGTTTTGTAGCAACTGAATCAAATACTGAATTTGGGGAACTGTAACAATCCTAATATGTACATTTTTTTGCAAAATGTCTGCTTAAATTTTTTACATACATTTCTGTGCCTCAAGCAAAAACTAAACTTGTCTGAAGTCAGTTTTTTTTTGTTTTTTCCTTAAACTAACACAAGTTGAACATGTGCTGGAGCATGGGAAATATTAAACTTCACATTGCTGTGGCCCTCCACAACTAGTCGCTGAACGTATTAAAACTTGACAGCAGAGTTTCTGCCCCAGTCATGATACCAATAAAACCCATTTTTTCCTCCCACAAAGCATTTCCCTTTCAACTACAACAAATAACATCACACTCCTGCGCTGACGATCCATATTTGCATGCTCTAAATAACAAGGTTTTAAAAGAAGACATAAAACAACCAGTAAATTTATCACTCTCACCCTAGTGTCATTCAGTCTGACAGAAAAAATTCAAGTCTGTATTCTATAGATTACCATAAAGTTCCTGAGCGCCTTTTTTTTCTTTTTTTGTTTTGGTGTTTGTGAAGCACAGTGAGAATACGGGACAATGAAGCTTGCACACTAATACTGGGAGAAAATGAATTTTAAAAGCAAGGATTCATTCAACAGCAAGGTGCAAAGCAGCAGCAATTGCATTGATTCACTTTCCCTCTTTCCCTATGTGTGCAATACATTTCACCTTGTATGGTGAAACACAGCGTTTAATATTAGAACGTTCAGTAAACCAGCATGTAATTTTAGAACATCCAGTATACCAGTATTTAATTTTAGAACATCCAGTATAACCAGTACTAAAATTTAGAACATCTAGTAACAAAATCTGTCGTTCAGACTGAGAATGTTTCTTAAGTAGTGTTTGAATTTAAACAAATGACTAATAAACCTGCTCTTTATCTAGATCAGGCATGTCAAACTGGGGACATTCCGGGCCAGAGTGCTGTAGAGATTAGCGTTTACCCTCAACCAACACTCTGAATACAGTTCATGAAGGTCTTGCTAATTAGCTGATGAGCTGAATCAGGTGTGTTCAATGAGGCAGTGTGCTTAAGTCTGCAGTGTTCTGGCCCGCAAGGACTGAAGCCTGACACGTGTGATCTGGATGGTGAACTTGATTGCTCCTGATTATTTTAAGGGTAATACGAATCCTTGCACTTAAGGCTATAAACATACAGACGTTGTACCAAATTATCAACCACATTTAACAATGTTCTATCTGCTGTTTACATGTTTAGATTTTTTCTGTACAGATTAGAATTAAATAAATAAACACGGACAACATATATTACAAAATGAATGCTTCAGAGGTCCTGAAAAATGAAGACAATTTAACTGAAAAAACAAGTGTTTCAGAATAAAAACTATTTACAATAATTGTAGTCTTTGCATCTTTTCTACGTTCTTACATTGTCGTTTTCAAAATAAACAGGGCTGCGTTAGTTTCTGCAGTTTTAAAAGTAAAAACCTAAAAATTCATTAGGTTAATAAATTATATAAACAAAATTATAATATAAAAAGTAGTGCTTAAATAAACATGACAATGCAAAATAAAAATCCAAGGCAGGGTAGGATCTGGTGCATGTGGATAATGTTGGTCTTAAGCTTTTAGTTGTCCAACACTGCCACCTACTGGAATTATAAGAGGGTGACCCTTGAGCAGCTTTCCAAAACTATGAGCAGTCCTTCAGTCTGTGGCAAACAGACATGCATATTCTTGGTCCCGAGTGAAACACAGGCAACTACAGTTTGATGATCAGAGTGCAAAAGAGCCTCGACCTTTGGGTGTGATGTTTGGAAGAGTAGATGTAGGATCCCAAAATTTCATCCAATTCCATAAAAGAGAGTCCACATGTAAGAGAGAAACTGGTCTTCTTTCTCAAACTTCTGGTCTGGATTCTTACGCTAGCTCTACTCTTACTCTCCTTGTCCCTTCTGGCATTCACAGAATGACAACATTGCCTCAAACCTCAGGTCTCGTCACCCAGGATTTCTCATTCCTTTCTCATCTTGTTTCGGGGCCTCCTTTCATTGACCCCACTTCAGATCCCGATGAAAATTTAAAAAATGGAAAAAAATAAGGAAAAAAGTTCTGAGTTTGCCTGATGCTCTCACCGGGACTGGACCCCCAGGGTGACTTTTAGATTCTCATATACTACATAGCTGATACTGACTGCAGGAATGACCTTCATGAAGTTGGGGGCCAGACCTCGGTAGAGCCCCATTGCCCCCTCCGTCCGCACAATGTGCCTGAACAAGCCACTCATGGTCATCTGAGGTCCTCCCTCCAATGAAGCTGCTATTGTGTGAGAGAGAGAGAGAGAGAGAGAGAGAGAGAGAGAAGGTGGGGGTGTGTGATTACAGACATAAAGGAATACAATTTTTGGTTCAGGATTGCTTAAAGTAGAAGACAGAGACTGGAGAAATAAAGCTAAACTGCAATAGCAAAAAGAGTCACAGTGATTAAACAAATAAAAAGAGCCTTACCTTGAGCCTGCATGCGCGTCCTAACCAAAGCCAAGGGGTAGCTGGCTAACTGACCACAAGTGCTGGACATGGTGCCACAGGCTAGTAATACAAACACACCCGGGTCTGCACTGTCTGTGGCAAACCTCTGCAGCCAAGAGTTCTTTAGAGTCTGTAGAAAAAGAAAGAGAACAAGATAGAATGAATTTGTTTACCATCTTTTAATATTAAAATATACACATTTTAATAATTTATTCAATAGGCGCAATTTTTACATTTTTTTTAATATTCGATTTCTTTAGACTTCCACACATTCAGTATACTTGATTTTGTAATATACATACACTCTGTATTGCTTTATTACAATTGTAATTTCACAGTCATATTTATAGAGCATTAATGAGAATGAAAATGATGAGAAACTCACAACGTTAGCTTTGAAGATGAGCACAAATGCATTAGACAGACTGACGCAGCATGTCAAAAGGTTGTACGTTACGTAAAATACAGTGACATCATCTGATCAGTATAACAGGATTACAATCAACCTTGTACATCCCTAAACAAAGTATGTACACCCACAAGGAAGCTAATTCAAGTGAAACTTAACTGCCATGAATGACAAAGGGGGTAAATGTCTGTGTGTGTATGTGTCAGTGTTTAACTGGAAGCACAATTACCGGCAGAATAAATAGCTCCTAGTCATGAGGGTCAAGTATTTGAGTATTGACAGTAAATCAAGCACACCAACAGTAACCAGGCACTGATTTCTTCAGCACCATATATGAAGTAGGTTCCTCTCAACTTGTTATTCAGATGTAAGGAGAAAACATCACCTAAAATAACCCTGAGAGGTCAGAGTAAAGCAAATTGAGGGAAAAAATTTGTTTTTTTCAATCTTTTTAGTTAGATAAAGAATTACCAGAACATCAGGTGTGTATCATTTTAGCTTAAAGTCAAATGCTTCCAGTATCCTACACTTTGTAATTGCTTGAGCTGTAACTGTGAACTGAACTGTAATTTCACCTTCATATTTATAAGCCTTAATACAACAAAAATGTAAGCAAAATGAGAGAAACAGTGAAACAGAGACCCCCACAAGATCTTTGAAGACAGGCACAAATACTTTGCTGTCTACATATGCCCATCAATAACCATGAGTGAGGAGTGAATAAAGAGATTCCTACCTCATACACTGCCAAGTCTATTCCAGCGTAAGGGATAATGCCAAGCATGTTGGGGATGTAGCCTTTGTAGAATGCTGCCAAACCCTCTTTTTGAAATATATGCTTGGCACAGTCAACGATGCCAGAGTACTGACCCGTCCTTCCCAGGGCCAATCGAGTCTTCAAAACCTTTGGTGAACACAAGACTCTTTGTTTAGGTTTCAAGAAGTTGCTGTCCTTCTCTTAATGCCACTTTGTGGTAAATAACAGGCCATCAGCACAAAGTTAATTAAGAATACAAGCTTATGAGAGACCGTTTTGGTCTAGAGTGTCCTCTTTCAAATCAAATGGAACATGAAAATGCACATAAAGAACAACCACAAAATACAAGTCACTGATTTTAGCGAAGTTGAAGAATAACGCCTACTTTAAGCTGGCTTTTGAAATGGAGCTGGCATTTCAAAGCAGGTGGACATGGTTTTCTCCATACACACCTGTGCAAACATCTGTCAGTTCTACACACAGATGGAAAATAAACAGCATTCTAGCAGGTTTTATTTTATTCTCTCACCTCCATGGGATAGATGCTGCTCTGTGCAATAGCGCCAGCCAGAGACCCTGCGACTAGCCTCTCCAGAATGCCCAGGGTTTCCTGATTGCTGCCTATTAGCCGCTTTATCTGGTAAGACGAGACCAACCACAAAGCATTCATTAAATGATAAACAACTGAATACGGTAACTTGAACAGGCAGTGTACACTGAGCACATTTAATATAATTGTGTGATAAAAAGCTTATGATATGACAGACATTGGCAAACTGAAACAGCTGTAACACGATTATGCACTAATTACATGATGACATGATGGCTATTTACTACCCTAATAAGGCTTATTTAATTTCTGTGACACTTCAGTTGTAATTAGCCTAATGACTACAGAGATTGAGAGTTTCTCCAACACACTAAGCACACAGTTTCACAGTAAGGCCTACCTGCTCGTAGGCCATGAACTTGATGGCGGACTCAGGGGCAATCTTCAGGACGTTGATGCCATTCCCTCGCCATAGCGACCGAACTCCACCCTCACGGATCATTTGAGAGAAGCCACCTGCGATGCACATGGAGTTGCTACGAGAGGCATGCACCTAGAAACACCAATCAGGCAATTAGTGAGCAAAGTCTAAAGCTGGTTCTATGATGCATTTTTAACCTTGGAGAACTTAGAGAAATAAAAAGTCAAATGTTTCGGGTTATTTCATCACTTCATCACAGTAGGAGGCAGTACAGGATTACAAGGCTATATGGTTATTTTCATAGTTCATAGTTACTTCATAATTCAAAGTCTCATGACTGCCATGACTTCCATGTCTCAGACAAATTCCTGACAGCAATACTTTTTGATTCTAAAGGGGCCTTTCAAAACTTACTTCTCTGGGGACTGAGGTCATTTACAAAAACATGACAAAAACATGTTATTTATAAGGTTTGTTCCACTCTTTACTCTTCTTCACTGCAAGGTGGGATGAGCAGGAGAGATATTTTCTTGATCTTGGCAAACCAGTTCCTGCTTATTAAGACACCCCACAAAAACACACTGCCATTTTCCAAACATGGCCTAATCGGTGAGTAATAGATAATATGCAAGTCTTCCTGAGGAGCCTTGTTTCTAGCCACCGCAGCCAGGAAGCGAAGATGTTTGAAGCCTTTTATGACAGTCTGTTCAGTATGAGTCATTATTTGTAGTATCTTAAATGATAGAGCAGATGTTTTTGACATTTAAAACTAACCTATATTCCACTTGTCCTTTTCGATGTGTTAGCATTACTGACCAGCATAGGGTATCAAAAGGTAGGAGGAACAGTGTATAAACTCCATCCATACTCAATTTCCCTTCTGCTGTTTTTGAATTTACATACTAGTTTTATCAGTGTTATCCTACCATTCTCTGTAATCTGTTCCTTTGTAGTCTTCAACCTATAGAGCACTGGATTACAACCGTAGGCCACAGTAATCCAAAGTCCAGCTATCATAGCTGAGCATTTTAAAAACCCTTACAGTACAATGCAACTGTAAATGACTCATTTGAACTTTATTACTAACAGGATACAGCTGTTAAGACCTTTGACCATACAGTAGCTTTTCCCTGTCCTGTGACTACAGTGTAACTCTGTTTCACCACTCCCCTATCTAGTCATGTAACCACTAGACAATTCAACCTACATCTCATAGTTCATAACTCCTTACTTCCTGAGTTGAGTTACTGATGATTTAATAAAAATGCTGACACAAGCAGGAGTGCAGAGCACACAGGTTTGGGACCTCTTTTTTGGCAGATAATTTATTAATACTGGGATTTATTACACCTTGTAGCAACTGAAAGACACTTTGCAGCACTGCAGCACTATTCTCAAACACGAAACTTTCCAATACTATTTTAAGTAGCTAAAACTTGCAGCTTAGTGATGGTCTTTACCTGCATGAGAACTTTGAGGCGATCCAGCGGGGCGGTACAGGTGCGCGACACTGCGCCTGCTCCACCTCCTGCCACTAGGTGACGCCACCACATGCCTGTCTTCTTTTCCTCTGCCGTGAACTCATCAGGCACCATCAAACTCTCCCCCACATCGAATATCTACAAAGTGCGAATTAAACCAGAGACGATGAGGAATGTCAACCATATCAATGCTAGTAAAGAGGGTTGAGTACTCCACCTATGTTGGTTTTGCCTTGATGAAATTTAAGAAATAACTCAACAGTACAATTTTGAGGAGCAAACTGCCTTGGAAACCTTTAGAACCATGTTTATCCATAGAGGTCACATTAGTTTCAATCATACTATGAATTACATGTCTGCAGCTGGGGAAAAAAAAAATAATACAATGAAACTAAATTTCATCATGTGTGGAGTAAGCTTGATGAGGTTATGTGAGGTTATATTAAAGAATCCATGCTACATGGGACTGAGGACACTGACTGTCTGATCACTGACTGTTTTTCAATGATAAAGACATGTCAGCTTTATCTGAGAAGCAAAGGCAGAGCAGAGCAGGGTGGAGGCCCCAGACAGTCACAGTTCAGAAGTGTTCAACTCTACATTTATTAGGAAGGGTTATGCTTCCTCAGTACCACATCTGATGAATATATAGGCACATTTCTCCTAATTCTGGTATCAAAATAGTAGCATGTTATATGAAACTGACATTAAAAATCTTAAAATACCAGTAACACAAAACTTGCGCTTTGAGTAGTTTTCATTTCTCCTAGCCATGGGAATTTGAGTACAGGTGCCAGCCAGAAGCACATGTGAGTGTCCTAAGTCAACCAAAGAGCAGACAGACTGACGCATCATGTCAAAAGGTTGGACAAGTGACGTAAAATACAGTGGCATTGTTGATCTGATCAGTGTAACAGGATTACACCGGAACACAAGAACCCTGTATGTTCCTTCAATAGAGTATTTCCGCCCGCAAGAAAGCTAATTCAGGGGAAGCTTAACTGCCATGAATGACTACGGAGGTAAATTTCTGTATGTTCATCTCTGTGTTTAAGCAGAAGCACAACCTCCAGCAGAACAAATAGTTCCTAGCCATGAGGGCCAAGTACTTGAGTATTGACAATAAAGCCAGTATACCAACAGTAACCAGGTATTGCTTTATTTAGCTCTATGTATGAAGCAGGTACCTTGTTATTCATTATATAAGCAATGAATGCAATAGCTCAGTATATCTCTGAGCGGTCAAAAGACTAAAACAAATTAAGAAGAAAAAATACATGCATATACAGTCCACTGATATTTTCAGTTGAGTACAGTATTAGCAGAACTGCAGGGGTGCAGCATTTCAACTTACTGTCGAATGCTTCCAGTAGAGGATGATTTCAGGGATATTGTCAGCAGGATGAAGCAGGTGGTAATCCCGCCATTCATTCCAGTCAATTGTCATTGTGCCGTTCTTGTCCATGCTGTTTAGGAAGAAGAAATCAAGGACAGACATTTAGCTAAATTTTCTGTATTTATTGGCAAACCAGCGATAGAAGTTACTCTTCACTGCCTTCTGGAATGCTAACAGCAAAAACTAATGATTTGACCAACAGCTCTTGTTTACAGCCATGTGGACAGAAATAAAAATCTCTCATGCTCTGAAATGCTCTACAAGACCATGAAAAAGAAAAAATTCTATTCTGTTGGTTTAGCTCATCATAACTAGCATCTAGCACAGACTTACATTTTTTCCCCCTCACAACAGCACCAAATGAGAGTTTGGAAGAAAAAAAAAAAAACAGAAATAAAGCAAAAGACGAGGCAAGCCGTGCAGGAGGAGAGACGACCGCTTACTTACTACATTATAGGGGCCCAGACATGACCCCTCCTAATTCTGAGAAGACGTGGAGAAGAGGAGGGACAAAAAGAGCAAGATGGTGATAATGAGAGAGCAGAGAGAAATGCAGTGGCTCAAGAGACAGAGCAAAGAGAGACACAAAGAGTTCAAACACACACACACGCACACACACACACACAGGCTTCAATGAATATTCTAAATGCAGTAAGTAAATTAATAAATTAAGCAAATTAAGTAAATTAAAGTGGCCACAGCAACTAAAGATCAGTTCTCTCAGTAATTAGTGTGTTCACCCTTTGCCTTTTTACAGTTTTCACTTGCTTTGTTTTTCAAAGAAATCTGCATAGATATGTTTCCAGACATCCAAAGTTCAGTCTTAGAAGCTTGTTGTATTTTCTGCTTTCTACGATCCAAGTAATTCCAAAGACATTTAATGATGTTGAGGTGTGGACTGGTCAGGTGGTCAGTCCATTGTTTTGAGAACACCAGCAGCTTCTTTGTTTAATTTGCAAATTCTCTTCTTGGTTTCCTTTTCTAAGTAATGGCTTCTTGACAGCTACACCTCCTGTCAGAACCACAGCGTTAAGCTGTCTTTTCACAGTGAAAGGATGGACAGACATAACTGGGGATTTCTTGAGATCCGAGACAGATCTAGCAGAGCTTGTGTGGAGCTTGACTTTCTCATCTCAGCTTCATCTGATACAGACAGTTTTGGTGGTTTACCAGGTCTTGCATAAATGTTAGGAGTATTTTTTTTCTCCATTTCTCCATTTTGTTAACTCCAGTGTTCGAAACTGTTTTATTCCCCAATTATTTTCCTTCAACTGTTACTCTTTCATCTGCAGATAATTTTTCTTATCTAATCTCCTCAGATGTATCTCCGGAATAATGAATAATGAGAAAATATTGTCTAAATGATTAAAAAAATATCTTCCTGAACAAGTCATACAATAAGGAGATTAAATATGGAGGAAATCTGTTACACTTAAAACAGCTTAAATGTAATATTTAAAAGTCATACTAAATGTATGATTGGCTTACAACAGACCTAAATCACTGTTCAGTTTCATGGTCAAAATGTGCAAGACACTACATATGAAAAAGAGGATGAAAGAGCTGGACGCATTAAACAACAGGTGTTCAGACACATCCGTGAACACAATTAACTCACCTCTTCAGAATTTTCTCAGCCTGCTGCTCTGAGATGTGCACCCCCAGGTCTCTCAGTGACTGCATGATCTCCTGTGAATCGATACAACCTGTAGAGAGGAGGAAGATGAGGAGAAACATTTAAAGAAATCTGTCATAACATGAGATTTCTACCATTCATCTTTTTCTAAAATAGAAGTTGGGGTCACAGGACAATTAGTAACCTAGAAGTCAGTGGCCCTTCAATCATCTGCAAATTCAGAAACCTGATATGTAGTGCAGATGGAACAGACTTTGCACTAGCCACTTGGCAGGATAAATCCATATAAGCTTATTCCTTACCATCATTCTTCTTGTCCAGACTTTTGAAGACCAGACGTAGCTTCTTCTCATGGTCCCTTAGGTAGTGCACAAACTCCTCGAAGTCCAGCTGGCCATCCAGGTCCTTATCTCCAGCTTTCACAATTTTCTAAAACACGAAACAAGCAAATTAGAGCAAAGGTCAGACGGACATGCTCATAGCAAGTCAGAAGCTTCTGGAAGTCATGGAGATGATGGCTATCCGAAGACTCACAACATATGGGCTTTGTTTAGTCAGGACTGCTTTGAAAGGTTTGCCGTGTACACCATCATACCCATTAGCACTGTTTGGAGACATCCAGGGTACAGTTTATTTGGTTGAGGGGACACAGGCTTTCAGGTATCGAGTGCCTAAGAGAGATGTCTGATCAAGGGCTCTGATTCAAACCATTGAGCTTAAAAGAGCTTGTGGAGCAGATGAGGATGGAGGCAAAAGTTTAATTTTTAACTTTATGTTCCCTCCAGGAGAATGACATCACTACATTCATGTACAGAATTATTCAGACACTACCCAGAACTGGGAATTATTCTGAGTATATATTATGAACTCTTTATTATTAACCATATTATATTCGTTGAATAACACCTTGGGCAGAATTGGCATATTTGTTCTTAGAACAGGTGAAATATTCAACTTTCATGTAGAATATTTGAACACGTAAAGCCTCTAACCAAAGAGGGCATTTCCTGCCCTTGTTAATTCAGTTAATATGGCACAATTTATCACAATGATAACTATTGCCATATCGTTCTTACATCAACTCCATTTCTTACAATGGCCAAAACTTTTTACCTTCTGGGCAACTACTGAACTCCAATACTGTCCACGTTGTTAGCAAGCAAGAGCTGTGGAAATAGCTCCTACATCCAAATAAGATGGCGTAAACACAGATTAGTTGGAGGCATTTTACACAATTCGGCTTATAGACTCTTTTTCGTTCCTCATTTTTGTCTTCTTTACTATGCGTTCAACTCGGTATTACAGGACTGTAGAGGACTGTCATTGTAATGGAAAACAGGGACTATCAATTCAACAATAGAGGTAGTGGCTGGCGACCACCAGCACTTTAAGAGAACCACGATCATCCAGCTGGCTCAGACTGTGTACTTGATGACTTACAAATTGTTGTGCAACACATGAACTTTTGAACTCTATGAGCCAAAGGCATTCAGTAGAAATACACCACCCTGTAGTATTAACCTTCTCTTAGATAATCAGACCTCAGTGGTAAACTGAAAATAAGACTGGCTAATGAAATGGCAGGGACACAGACTGTCTACATCAAAGTGCACACTTCTTATATCATAGGATCCTTTACTTTATCAAAAATGCTGACCGAGTATTATGACCCCTGGTCTCAGTCTAAACATCAGAATCATTGCCTCCATATTCAGGTTGGCCAAGTTAGTGGTTGGGATGTTAAATGCATGTGTGAAAATTGTAGGCTACAACTTGCAAAACACTATTTTCCCTCCCAAAAGAATCACTGAAGTTATGACATAGTAAAAAAATATGGCAAATATTATTAAATGATAAACTATAACATATCTTCATTATCAGCAAGATCTGGTCACCATTTTTAGTTTTATTATAAGTTCTCGACGCTAAACAGCTTTCTCAATTATAACTGAATCATCTACAGCCCTGCTAATCATTGAAATTTTCTTATTTTTCACAGCATCCTACAAATTGATTGAAACCTACAAAATTAGTATAATATTTAAATCATTTTATGCATGTATTTGCAACAAAATTGTTTTTTTTTATTATTAACAACAAATAAACAATTGATCAACACAAGACTACCAAACAGAAAGAAAGAGCTGTAAAAACCAATGGTTACCAGCCAGAGCCTGAGGCATCGCTGTCCACTAGCAGACTAGACTAATCTTAAAGGCAGGGGTTAAAGATAGCTATCTTAAAGAAGCACTGTACACATTGGGACATGCAAGCCATTAAGCCGGACGCTGCACTGCCAACAGACTCAACCTCGGCAGACAAGTGGGTCAAGATAACAGTAGCGAGATTAAGAGACAGGGAGTTACAAGAAGATACAGGTGCTTCCTGGGCAAAATCTGTTAATGAACCCTCTCAAGGGAGAAAATGAGTAGAGGTGTACTGTTTCCTAACATGTAATGAGTATAACTTCCTCTTATAGCAAGTGAGTGGTCCCTACTATTAAAAACAATATAATTGCAAAGAGTCAATACTTTTAAAAAGGTATTCAAATGATTCTAACATCACTGTAATCCGAGTTTAGGTCCAAAAAAGGTGAACTCCTGTCTGCATCACAGCAGCCAGCCAACTCAAATGAGGGAACTCAGTGAGCAAGTGAACTAATCTGGATTAAATAACCTAAATAGGATCACAGAGGAGATGAAATGGAGAAGCTCCTGAACATTCTTACTAGCTGAATCTAGAAATTTGACATAAACAGTGATAAACACACAAGCTGGTCTGTTTTCACAGTATGTGTAATCTACTGCAATCTACTGTAATAAATGAATTAACTTGTTAATAGCCATTGATTCAAAACCAAACATGTAAAAGCAATAGCCACAAAACTACACTATAATTTATATTAAGTATTAGTTTAGTATTATGATATATTATTATTATTATTATTATTATTATTATTATGTAGTATTATTAAGTATCAATGTAGTAATATAGTAATGAAATCTAGTAGTAATTAAACATAAGAAAAAGGGACATACCTGTCGCCATTTTCTGTATGTAGTAAATTCCTGAGATGGAAGAAATAAACTCAGTTTGAAAAGAGACTTCAATTCTGCCGGCAAACTGTTTGATTCGAAGTATTCAAATTCTGTCTGAGATGAACTGGGGACAGGCACGTAGAGACACAAGCCCAGCATTTTTAGTAAATGCCAAAGTTAAATACTCCTTTAAATAGTCATTAATAAATAGATTTGTATAAAAGTTTCTAACCACTCTCTGTGGTGCTAAGCACTAGACAACCAGTGCTTTCTCTGACACATGGTGTAATAAAGCAGAGCAATGGTCCCTCCTCTCTTGGCTCATAGTGATGTTCTGTAATGCGATTGGCTTGAGCAATACCTGCCCCTGCTTAACTCGCTTCCATTCACTGGTGAATTGAAATGCAAGGCTGTCATTCATTCAGGCACTCCATGCTGAATTTCTTAGGAGTCGCACATTTATGAGGGAGGGAAAGCCTTTCTTGACTGAACAGTTCAGATTATTTGCTAACAAATAAAAATTACAATAGGAAGATGCAGGCAATGATAGCTCCCAATGTATCCCACATATAAAGAGTAGAATCTTTGTAATCATTACGAGTGCATCCTTACATTCAAGCAGAGAGTAAAGGTACTCTACAAAACTTCATCATACAAGGACACATCATGCCAAACTGATCAGCCATAAAGCCTGAGTCATAGCAGTGTCACGTTGTTAAAGAGGCGTCAAAGAAAAGGAATCATAGCCACCACTTTCTGTATCAGGTTCACCTGCAAGCATAAAATACTCACACATACATATGTACATACATACATAGTCCAGCCACTTCATTAAGCACACCTCTTTGTTTCTATATTTACTGTCCATTTTGTCAGCTCCACTTACCATTTACATGCACTTCGTAGTCTACATTTACAGACTGTAGTCCATCTGTTTCTGCGTATAATATGTTGCCCTGTTTTTTTTTTTACCCTGTTCTTCAAAGTTCAGGACCCCCACAGGACCATCACAGAGCAGGTATTATTTGGGTGGTGAGGACAGTCATGCTGACGTGGTGGTGGCATTGGTCTGTGGCTCTGGTATGAGTGGATCAGACACAGCAGCGCTGCTGGAGTTTTTAAAACACCTTAGTGTCACTGCTGGAGAGAGAATAGTCAATCAATCAAAAATATCCTGCCAACAGCGTCCTGTGGGCAGTGACGACTGACTAAAAGATGACTAAAACAAACTGTGCAGTAGCAAATGAGCTACTGTCTCTGACCTTACATCTACATGGTGGACCAGCAAGGTAGGTGTGTCTAATAGAGTGGACAGTGAGCGTTTAAAAACTCCAACACTGACAACAATGCTGTGTCACCATAATAGTGTCACTGCCGTTTTGAGAATGATCCACCAGCCAAATAACACCTGCTCTGTGGGGGTCTTGACAATTAAAGAACAGGGTAAAAAGGGGCTAACAACTTATGCAGAGAAACAGATGGACTACCGGTCAGTGTATATACATGTATACTGATACAGGTATGAGTGTAATTTGAGTCCACAAGCAGAAAGCCAACACTCATTCCTGGGTTTTTACAACATGTTTTACTGGCCACTGCAGCGTAGGTTGGAAGTACGGGTTTCAAAGAACATATAAAAGAAGAGCTTTATCAAATTCCACCTCTCCACATTTTAAGATGCTTTGTTGTTGCAGCTTTCCCAACTTAACAAGCAGCAGATATGCTGGACATAATGTTCAGAATTGGCTGTAGAAGCAGACTGCACAAAATACAACAAGGCTTAACATAGCCTAGAACAATAATGCCACAAAAGTAAGTTAATAAACAAGTGTTAGCGTGACTGGAAAATCATGCTAACAGTCATTGGAAAGCTAAATGTTGCTTTTTCTTTTCTGTGGTACATAAATATGACAATTTTATGTTAATGCTGGCCCTCATGATTAATCTCAGTCCATTCAAAAAGTAAAACAGTGAATCAAGCCATGAGTAATATTTACAGTGTCAAACAGCTGTTGACAGGAAATACGCCACGGACGTCCACACACTTTGGAAAAGCAGGTCTGGGTAACAGAGCAATACTGGTTCGGTGGGTCCCTGATCAGAAAGGTCACTCCTCAGGAAGATGGAGGATCTACACCTTACATTTTGTTGGTCCACTAAAAGTCTTACATTTAAATCAGAACCCCTCAAGTTCCTCAAGGACAATGTCTAGTCACACCTACGTAATATTTACTATGTAAGATTTTGAAGGGCTTAATAAGGCAAAAAACCTTTTAAATAGGAAATGTCAGTGAACTGTTTTAGAAAGCTGGAACCCTCTCTTCCATCCTTTATTACTGCACTTAGGCTAATTAATGTGCTGTCTTCATGCCAACAAGTTATAATTTTAAA